AAACAAAAGGACGCGAAGGCACAAGTGTTTGGGGTGTTTTAAAAAAAATGTGAAAAAAAAAAGAAAAAAAAAAAAAAAAAAAAAAAAAAAAAAAAAAAAAGAGAAGGATGTACAGCTTCATGTGTCTGGGTTATCATTACAAGCCACAATATATGCAGAGCTGTTCTTTGATGTAAAACATCCCCTCTCATTGCAAGAACGAAGTAAAGAGGCAACACCCCATTTTGTTCCTTTTTATAGAGAGTTTATGGTGCCTGGCAGGCGGCGAGGAGGGAAAACAAGAGCTTGGAAAACTTTGTAAATAAATCTAGCTGCATTAAGCTTTGCAAAAAGAGAGAGAGAAATAAAATAAACTCCACAAATAATCTAAATATTTAAATAAAATAAAAAGCTAACATGAAATAATTGAAAAAAAAAACTCCAATTTGACTTTGGTTGCGGTTGAAACCAGATATTTACATACGCTGTATAAAAAGAAACCCTCTTCCTCACCGTCGGACAGTAAATCAGTTTAAATGCGTCTCGTTTTAGATCAGTCAGAACGTATAATTTAATACTGCTACTTCATATTCATCTGTTCAAGTGATTCTGTACAAATATAAACGCCGTGGGAATTGTCTGGTTCCAAAAAAAAAAAAAAGAGAGAAAATGTGTTTTGGTGTAAAATGTAGAAGACTGAAGATCTGGTTTGGCTGAGGCTCGTAAGACAAGGTGATTATGAAAACAGACTCACTCAGTGAGGAAGAAGCACAAAATGGCGGATTAAAGTTTGCACAAAGCGTAGACACCAACACAGAGCCCTGACCTCAGTTCTGTAGAAAACCTGTGGGCTGAGCTAATATGCATGTGAAACCAGTGCCTCTGGTAAGCTGGTTCTGTCAGTAGGAATGGGACACAAAAAGCAAAACAAAAAACTTAGGACCAAATTTTCAGTTGTGTGAAAATTTGGTTTCACCTGTATTTACTTCAACAGCATTTAAAAGCTAATTTTCAGATAATTTTGTTCAGTGATCTTAACATTTTCTTTGCGCATTGCAATCAGCTAAGAGGTCAGCACCACAGTGAACATGTGAGACCTCGTGTTTAAGGATTCTTATCCATTCATGTTAGATTTCTTTTTTTTTCCATTTGCAGCATTAAAGTACTAAAACATTAAATAAAAACGGGACATCTCCAGGAATATTTACCACTGTTGCTGAATGTTTTTGTATGAAATGTTCTCCTGCTTGATGGAGTCAGTATGTCCACTTTGTTTACTGTAATTGCTGATAATTACAACAAACAAAATGTTTTGGTTCTGTTCAGATATCATTTGCTTACAGAACTGTGATGTGAAAAAATTGTCACATTTTTTCTTTATCTGTGTGCAGCAAACAACACCCAAAATGTTTTCTCAATTTTGAATGTGATGCACTTTTAAGAGGTTTTGAGGGATATTTCTGTGCAAGAACATGAGTTCAGAAATAAAATATTTTTTGATTTATTAAGCTGAATTCAGTTTTTAAGCTCATCCTAAACTTTGCCACACAGAGGTAATCCCTGGTAATTTTATTTTCTAAAATAAACAGCCCTGGAAAAAAAAAAAAAAAAAAAAAGACCATTACACTGAACCCATTGAAAGCTTCAAAGTTATTCCACCAAATATTGATTTCTATAATATTGAATTCTTGAGTTAAAACATTAGTGTTGTTGTTTCTAAATGAATATAAACTTGTTTTCTTTGCATTATTTGAGGTCTGAAAGTGCTGCATCTTTATTGTTATTTTGACCATTTCTCATTTTCTGCAAATAAATACTACATTTTTGAGTGGAATTTAAGAAACATGTCAGCATTTCATAGAATAAAAGAGCAGTGTTAATTTTACTCAAACATATACCTAGAAAAAGTAAAGTCAGAGAAACTGATCATTTTAAGTGATCTCTTAATTTTTTCCAGAGCTGTATGCATGTGTCTGACCCTGAGGCGCACAGCGAGAGCCTCAGTTCTCACCTGTGTGTGTTTTCATGTGCTCGTCAAAGTACTGCTTCATGTTGAAGTCTTTGCCACACCACTGGCACATGAACTGCTTGTGTCCAATGTGAATGCTCATATGGGAGCGCAGCTGGTACTTGTACTGGAACCGTTCGTCGCAGTGCTGCAACGGAAAGAGAGAGGCTTTTTTAGACATGTGCCCACTAGGTCAACACATGCACACGTTCTCAAATATAAACTGAACCCTTGTCACATGGCTCTGCATTTCACAGTGGGTTTTTTTTCCCCTGTGGTAATGTGCAGCAGAGTTCTGCTTACTTCAGCATATTTAGCTTTCAGTACAAACTAATGTGAGGACAGATTATCTCTCTTCAAAGAACTCAGTGGGCTCTGACTGGCCCCCTCCAATGGTCTGAGAAGAGACTTCCCACCATCCAACATCTGCTCAGATGAGAAAATCCAGAAAAAAAAAAAAGCCACATATGTTCAGCCACTAAAAATAACCCTTGGTTGCAGCACTTGTTACACACAGTGTATAGTGCATGGTTCGATTTTTTTTTTCCCAAAGGTTAGATATTTATACTCTGTGCCACCACCTGACTAAATAAATGTCTGTGGTGAGAGAAAAAATCTGAAGAAAGAATGTAAGGCCTGCACATTACATAAACCTAATAGGCATGTAATAAAAACCTTAGTGTCTGGGATAGCTTCTAACATCTAATTAGAACAACTCCACCCATGAAAATGTTTTAAAGTGTGGTATAGTTAAAGGCCTAAGCTGGAAGTAAGGACACCCTGTGGAGCATAAACAACCCTACGAATACTGAGAGGGAAACTGACTGCATACTTTCCAAAGCAACGGCAGAAGTTTGGTCTTTCAGCTGGTCAACCATTATAATGTTTGACATGGTTTGAGTTCAATTCTGAGGACACACCGTCTGCTGACTGTTAATGTGTGGAGACAAAAGAAAATATTAAATAAGTCGACCATATGCAGAAAGGCCAGGGTGTCCAAAGTGCGGCCCTGACCGCAGTTTAATATTTGTACAGTTTAATATATTTGGTCCAGAAGCTCAGGTGGTTGATACAGATGGAAAGTTCATAACGATGAACTGAAATTATCCTAACACAGACAAATTAGGTGCAAAACAAAGTATTCATCTTTTAACCATTATGTTTTCTCTATAATTTCACCGTTAACAGAATCACAAATATACAGCAATTCTTACTCAAATGTATTTAACTGATTTATTAAACTTAGCTAAATATAGCAAGTGTGTTTTAAAGAAAAGAAGAAACCAAAGTCTTGTTCTTGTTAATGAAGAATAAACTTTTTGTTTGCAAGCCACAAAAATGAAAATTCTTCCAACTCCTCCCTCTGAAAGATTTGGAAACTGTATACATTTATTTTATTACGGTAAACCAACAAAACCCTGTTTATGTTCTGGATTTATAATCACTCGCTCATTACGTCCCCACAAAATTAAGGATTTTATTTGTTTCACTAAAATTGCATTTTTATTTCATCGCTGACCTGATAAATTATATACTTTTTTAAAATTATGTTTATATGGCTCACAAACTTTTTGGATTGACATTTCCAGCCCATGTCATTAAAAGTTTGGAGACCACAGCATTAGGGGTGCGAACACACATGTTCTAAACTATATTTGAATTTCAAATCATTACTCTAGTTTCTTATTGTTTTGTGCTCTTTATAATGCGTTTGTTTGCAATAATTCATGTGGTATGCAACCGTGTACCCTACAACGCAGTATGAAAAATAATAAAAACATTATGCAAAATACTGTTTAAAAATTTCTTCACTCATAATGCCGTATGGATTCTCACCCCTTAACTCTGCTTTACTGCTATGAGTAGAAAACTAAATGAGAGCATCACAACGGGAAGAAATCAATTGCTCCCTCTTTGAAAGTTTAAAAGACTTTATATGGTTTATAAACATTTTGAAAGGTTGAATCTTACTACCACTGTGTCTTCAAGATGTAAAAAAGAAAATATTTAACACAGAATGTGAAAAAATATCGATTGCATTAATCTTAAAGTGACAGCATTTGGTCGTCAGTCATTTTTATAGAGATGCTCTTTGTAGTTTATGTCAGAAAACAACAGAGAGCGCCATAATGCACGTGCAGTAAAAAAGTATTTGCCCCCTATAGATTTATTTTGTTTTGCTTTTTCTTCCACTTCAATATTTTACATCATCAAATAACTGTTAATGTTAGATAAAATATTACATTTATTAAGGCAAAAAAAAGCAGTTCAAACAAACGTGACCCTATGTGGAAAGAAGTAAATGTCCCCTAAACCTAATAAGCAGCAACAACTATTGTGTTTTTTTATTTTTATTTTTTTATCACTGATAAATCTTACATCACTGTGGTTGAGTAAATGGCCTTTGCATAACTGCTCTTATTCACCCACATTAAAGGGTTTTGTTAAATGCCATGTTACAAGTTCGGACTTTTACTAGGCCACTCCAAAATCTCACTTTTCCCTCAGCCAATCAGAGGTGGACTTGGTGGTTCAGTTATGAGGATTGAGGACCTGAAGTGTGCTGGAATTTAAATTAGTGTTCAGAGATAATTCCTCCTTTGGCATTTTATACAACAGAGCAGAATTCATGGGTCAGCAAGACAGTCCCAGACCATAACACTACCACCACCATGTGTGACTGAAGGTAAACTGTTCTTATTTCTGAAAGGTTGGGTTGTTTAATGACAGAAGCAACAGGATGCAGATGTCGTCTCATCAAACCTTTTGCATAATCACTTTGTCAACTGCGAGACAGGCTTTTTTTGGTCAGCAGTGGGTTTTCGCTTTGGGTGCCATAGCAACCCAGCCTTTTTTCTGGTGTTGAAGTCTGACCTCAATTAAGGCAAATGAGGCCTGCGGGGGGTTTGCGACCTCCTGGATTTAGTTGTTAATGCCTTGTTGGAGTAATTTTGGAAAGCTGGCCATTCTTAAGTAGGATCAGCACCACTTTGCGTTTTCCCCATTTGTGGATAACGGCTCTCAATGGTTGCCTGAGTCCTAAAGCCTTTTGTAACCTGTTTCAGATTGAAACCAGTGCCAGTGACTTTTTTCCCCCCTAACAAAACCCTCTTCATACCAAAGCACAAAGTTTTGCTTTTTTCTACTTCATATTGCATGGAAGTTCTATTTAAGTGACTGATTGATTCTACAAACCAGGCAGAAATTGGGTTTCGCCATTGAGAAAGTCAAATAAACTCAGATTTCCTGAAAATCTAAGAAATCGGAATTAGATCTGATCTGATAAGTTTGGGGGGAGAGGAAACAGGCTATGTAATGGGAGCAAATACCGTTTCAGAGCATGGTGGCATTTTCTGCAAACTAAGACTTTTCTTCAGTCTTTAAAGGAAGTTCTCTTCTTATCAAACATTCAGTACTTATCTGTAGGGCTGAGAAAAAGAAAGTTGCACCAAATAAAGGGATATAACTCTTTGGAGTTGAAAAGTTTACTCAGCAAATGCTTCATGACGCCATCTGTTGGAATGTCTCTGAAAAGCAGAAGGAGTGTAATTTCTGCTGTGATGAAAAGGATACGTTAATGTTGCAAGGCGTGACTGTCGCCACAAAAACATCACAGAAAGATCCCAGAGGGCCGCGATTCAGAGACATGATAAAAGGGGGAATGGAGGTAATTGAAAGCCACACAGAGGACAGCTCACATTCAGAAGCGCTTTTGCCTGCTGTCATTTGTGCTGCAGAAAGACTTAATCACATACTGCAAACATAACCTGTTCTTTATTACCCTGTCAAAGATAAATTCAGAAACAAATATCTGTTATTTTCTCTGCTTTAAGGTTTCGGACACAAATATTGAGACATGCTGCTTCTGTTGGAAAACATTTAATAATGTTTCCATGTTATTAATGACACCTTGGTCTAGAATTGCATTTGTAACTTCTAATGAGTTTCTGCATTTACCACCAAGCTGTTGAGTCTCTTATTAAATGCAAACATGCAATAACCTGCCGAGTGTAATTCATGCAACCATAACTACAATAACCTGTTGGACAGATATCTTTATGATATTCCTATAACTCACCTAATTACAGACTGTGCATTTCCTCATTCTGTATTTCTTGTGAACATAGCACATTTTTACTGTACTTTTGGACCCAATCCTCCATTTATAAAGCAGGAATTCCCCTCATTATGCAACAAAAGTAAATATTAGAGACAATTAAATGCATTTCTGTTTTTACGGCAACGTTAAAACAGCATCTTACCTCACAGCGGAAAGGTTTCTCCCCAGAGTGCTGCAGAGAGTGAACTTTTAAAGACATGCTGCGTTTAAATGACTTCCCACACGTCTCACAGGTGAAAGGCATGTCCTTAGTGTGAGCTGGAGATGAGAGGAGATAATTAAAGCTACTTTTGGGGTTCCAATAATATTAATAAACATTTTCAGAGCTGATGCCTTAAAACATTATGCAAATAACTATAAGGCCCAACTCACCAACCATGTGCTTCCTGACGTGGGCCATTGTGTAGAACTTCTTCTCACAGATTTCACACGAGAACTTCTTCTCTGCATAGCCGTGAACAATCTTAATGTGCTCATGCAGCGACCACAACTTCTTAAAAGACTTGTTGCAGGAGACGCACTGTGGAAAACCAGGGCAGACATATTTATTAGGATGGAATAAAGTGTTGAGGTTTCTTATAAGCAGGTACGACTTTCTGGAAGTCCATCAGCTCCCTCTGCTGGGGGAAAAGTGTAACATCAGGATAAACGTCTGATTAAACTGGGAAATTATTTTTATTTGAGGCAAGTAATTGCATCGATAAGCAATAATAAATGTCTAACTTGGTGCATACGAAAATATTGCGTCCAAAAGCTAAAAAATTCCCAATTTGGTTATACAATAACAAATTTATACATTTGTTCAATTTCAACAGTATTAAATAATCGAATTACTTAGTTTTACGTTTTATTCCAAATCTTGTTTTATAAGCGATTTTTTCCCATTATTTTCTCATTTTTTAAATATCATGGAATATTATTTTTATATTATTCACATTTTGCCATCGTTTCCATATTCTGTATATATGTAGCCTTTTTTTAATCAATGTATTTTTTAAAACCATACATTGATGTTTTCCCTGTAATATTTTCTCTTTTTCCCCCTCTCCTATGTTTGTTTATTTACAGGGTTTTTATTTTCTTTGTGCTTTCTTTTGATTTTCCTTCTAACTGAAACGTAGATGGTAAAAGGACGGTGAGATGAGGGGGACTGACTGCAGGACACGAGATTTGAAACTGGGTCATTTCACTACACTCTATGTGTAGTGGAGAAAATAAATTCCAACTTCTGCACTAAACTCCTTTTTAAAACTCATCAACAGCATTGAATAATCAAAGCTCCTGAGGAAAAGACCTGTTTTGAATGGCTCAAAAGCTAAAAAAAAAAAAACTTTATGACATTCATGTTAATCATGACACGTAAACATCTACAACTAATTTATTCAAAAATGTTACTTGGCCATAAAACAAAGCTGCTTCTCTAACAGCAGCCATCTTTCAGGCTGCAACACTTAGCACAGAAACACAAACTTAAACCACAACATGCAATAGAAATGTAAAAAAAAAAGCTGATTAAAGTCTAATCAAAATTACAGACTTCCTCAATTAATCTGAGGAGCTCTTAAAAGCCTTAATGTTATGCTGGCATGAAAAGGGAGTTTTTTTCCTCCTCCTATAAAAAGGTGAATTTTTCTTTTCTTCAATGAAACTGCTAAGGTTCGATGGAAACAGTTGCGTGCGACACATGATTTCCTCTCAGGCTTGACGCTATTTAGCTCCTTTTGAGTTCTGAAACTCCACTCACATGCACTTATGTTAAGACAGAAATGAGTTTATGAAATCTTTCCATTGAAGACGCACTAAAAATACACAAACTAAAATGTGTTTAAAACTAATTTGATGTATTTTGGTCACATTAACAGAAACTATGAAGGTAGAAATAAACTAAACTATAGAGATTTAAAGCTGCAGACTTTTCTAGGGCGATGTATGTTTCGGCCAAATGAGAAAAATCTTAAATATAACCGTTTCCCGCTTTAGGAGGAACTGACAGCCGTTTAATGAATGGTGCTTTACATCCTCACAGCGTGGCATTGTTAGTAGAAATCTGAGCAGCTGCTCAGATACCCTGTCATCCAAAATAACCTGAGAATGCAAATCAAAGTCAGCAAAAGTCGGGCGAATTCAAGCGATCAAAACAGCTGCGAGTCCCTCAGGAATTCAACAGCTGAACCTCCCCATTCAGTGTCAGGAAACTAAAGCCACAACAGAACAGCAGATAAGGATACAGGCTTACAGGAGGTGTGCTGCAAATTTGCAAGCATGTGTTTTTTAACTATATCTGGACTCCAAGAGCACCAGATAATTGAAAGGTTTGCTACAGTAAAGCTACCAATGCATGTATAAATGTTTAATGCAGTTGGGTCAAATTCACATCAGCCATTTAAACTTGGAAAAAGTTGGACTGCCTTCAGCTTTTGCACCTGTGCATACCGAATGCTCTATAAAAATCTAAAACCAACAACAAAATATTCAGTTAAAAAAAACAAAAACAAAAAAAAAACCTGATGCTCCCGCTAACAGACTGGTTTCGGCAGATTGTTGTATGATGACTGGAAGACCGAGGATCATAAACTACAAGATTTGTAAAACACCTAAAGCCAAATGAACGCACTGAACTCTTTGTACAAACTCTGACGAGGGGGGACAGTTTTGCCAGAGGGAGTCATTTGGCTCAAAGGAGCTTCAAAACCCACAAACCAGAATTTATCAGCAAATAAAACAGCAACACTCATTTCGCCACAAAATTACTAACTTCACAATGAATAATTGTCAAGATTGTAATGCAGAAATACTACCGAAACCCTCTCAATGACGTCAAACAAGCAAGGAAACAAATCTTGTTCTTCTTTCAAATATTCTCTAAGAGCATTTGGATTAAAGTAAGAGCAGATAATGTTCATGAAGCCTCTTGGTCATGTTTTTAATGGATTTATCTGGGAATGAAAAAGATAAAGTTGAGGTTGATGTCCCATAAAGTACAAACTGCCTTACAATAAGTTTCGTTTGTGAGATTAAAAGCACCTTTTGTAAAGAACCTTTAGATGGGTTTTAAATATACTTTTCACTAAAACCACATTTCACATTAAAATGTTTATTGATCTAATGTAATATTCTAGCCCTAAATGTTGTGTTTTTGTTAGCTGTAAACAGAAAAACCAGCATAACTAAAAGAAATAAAGTCTTGAAAACACCAGTTTGTGTGTTATTAATCTGCGTAACGTTTTAGTAGATTAATAATGATCACAGTTTCCTGGTATTCCTCCAGACAGAACAGACCAATTCTTCTCAATCCAACATCCAGTGTAGAGATGCCAACATTTATTTCAGGTTCATTATTTTACTTTTATTCCAGAATCTGTATGAACCTGAAGCCTGTCCCATTTGCCAACTATAATATAGTCTACTACTCTTATTACATCAATCAACCAAAACAGCAAGCATTCATTTTTCAGGTCAAGAAATTCTAAACTACAAGAGAGAATTATGAAAGCATAACTGTCTGACTGCAACTGAGATTGGGTCAGTTCCTCTTACACTTGCCTCAACAGATTTTGGTGCCCAGATCTTGCAAAACGTTTTGGGTAAAAAGGCTCTTCAACAGTGGTTTAACAGATGTAGCCCATTGCTTTGATCCATCCGTGTTGTAGATCATAAGTCTCTCTCAAACTCCTGAATGGGTTCTGCTTCACAATTCACCAGGCTGAAGTTTCACCTGTTCTATTTTCACAACCACACTTTAATTTCCTTCCACTGAGCTTTCCATTATTATTCTAAAATACAGCAATTTGTGAACAGTCACATTCATTTGCAGTGACCCTTTGTGGCTTAACCTCCTTATGAAGAATGTTAATGACTTTCAGCTGGTCAGCAGCATGATTTCAATAGTCACAACTTATCATTTCTATTATTAAAATACATTTGTATTGTTCTCATGTCTTGTTAAATCACTAAATTTTGGGTTAATATTATTTACTGGGACACACCTGCATCTGATTAACCGTGGTTTGTTATCGTTTCAAACACCAGACCTGCACCACTTCAATCTTTAATTGCAGGTTGAATGAAAACTAATGAATGAAGTCAGATTTACCTGGATGTTCTTCTCGCAGTCAGTCTGCTGATGCAGTGCCAACTCACTCTCCAGGACGAACTTCTTGCCGCATTTATCGCAGATCTGCATCCGCCTGTGTGTGACGTTCATGTGCTTCTCCAGGTACCAGCGGGTGTTAAACACCCGGGGACACTTCTCACACGCCAGCATCTCCTTCTCCTCCTCCATCTCCGCCTTCTCGCCAGTCCTCTCTGTACCTGCGGAGGACGGGGTCGACCTCCCCGACCTGCGCTTGCTTTTTGGAGGCTCCATGCGCCTCCGCCGCCCCCTGGTGGTCATTCCGGCCGCGGCGGCGCTCAGAGCCGTTCGGAGGCTTTTCCTCTTTGGCGGGCTGGCTGACGAAGAACTTTGTCTGGTTCTTCTCGACCGCGTCGTTTGACTGTCCATTGCTTCGTCCTCCTCGTCTTCCTCTTCCTCGTCATGGCTCTCCTCCTCTTCATCCTCCTCTTCTTCTTCCTCCTCCTCATCATCCTCATCCTCATCACTTCCTCCTCTTTCCGAGTCATCTGCTGTGGTTCCAGTTTTGTTGTCGCCCTTGGATACGTGAAGCGTCTGGTTGTTCAGATTCACCTCGACGATGATCTGCTCACGTTTGTAGCCCTCTTCACCCTCTTCCTCCTCATCCTCTTCTTCCTCATCATCTTCATCCACCTCAGTGTCATCAGAGGATTCCTGGTTTCCCGTTTCGGACTCCTGCGACCCCGCCTCCTGCGCTCCCTCTCGGAAGTACTGCTGATGCTGCTGTGAAGTCACATGCTGAGGCGGCACCTGACCCATGTTCTGATCCGTCCCGGCCATCTTGGAGGACATCTTGTTGTCTACCAACACAGAATAAGGCTTTCCACTCACCTCCCTCCTGTGTACCTTTCCCGTCAGGTCCAAATCCGGGTTATTAGAGTGATAATAGTTCTGGGACACGGGTGTCCTACGTGCCTCCTCCTGTGACATCCCACCCAGGCTGGGGATGGAAACCTCCTCCTTCAGGCTCTGGCAGGATTTCATGAAGAAGTGATGACGGGGCTGGATCAGGTGAGAGCACGAGGTAACGTAAAAGAGAAAAGACTATGTTGCAAAAAGAAGACTACCCTAACCTAGCCTAGCCTGCAAGGAGGGGCAGGGGGCCAATCCCCCACCCTCCTGCTGAGGAGATAGGAAGGAGGGGACGAGGTGAGAGACGATCAACCTGATTCAAAGAGAGCGTCCATTCTGTCCGGAGAAGGACATGCAGTTGGTAAGACATTAAAACTGTCCCAAAGTTTGTTCCATATAGCTGGGAAGCAAAATCTGATTACGAAATCTCAGCGTCAGTTCTTCAAGGTCTGTCGGGTCCAGAGCAAGCGAAGGTGAGCCGGAGACCGGTCACCTGTCAGCACCTCCACGTCTCGCTTGAAGCGCCATTTAACTGCAAGACAGAGAAAAAGAAGAAACAAAGAGACTTACAGATGAGATTAAAGACAACGTTCTTCCGCTCGCTTTGAGAAAACGGTGAGATTGCGACCTGAAACTGCAGGCATGTCGAGCTTGAAGCAGCGAGTGTCACATTTACCCACAGACGTTTGTCTTGGTGCTGAGTATGGGAGCTGAAACCACAGGTTTCACGAATGACTGTGAGTAAAATTCAATTTCAAAACTGTGCAGCCCGAATGTCTCTCTCGACCACAACTGAAAGATCTCATCAATTTTAACGTTCAGACGCATTTCTAAAGTGACACGCAACTAGAGAACTGGCTTAACGGAAAACAGAAACTTATCCCAAATGTACAATGAAAAACTTTCAAACTTTTAATTAAACAAGGTCAAAAACCACAGAGCGCACTCCTGTAGCAGTAGTAAAGCAGAAAACCTCGAAACAAACCGAAGCGGAGCATGCAAAAGCAAGAATGCAGCCACTGTACTTTAGCTTTTATCTAAAGTTGGACTGCAATCAAAGTAAAAATCAAGTCACAACAATCTAAATGCCTCCCAGAAACAAGAAGCTCACCTGAAACGGCAAGAAACGCTGAACAACGTCAAGGTTTGCCTTCGTCTTAAGCAGCACATGTAAACGCAGCTCCCATTGACTGCTAGAAAGCGTAGTGTAACCACAGCTCTGGAGCTTCTATTGCAAACGCAACCACAGGAAATTGTATGTCAACCTGTCAGTGAAACTTATCTGCTACACTTGTAACCTAAAGTGTGATTATCTTGTTTATAAACAAGTCACGCACTGAAAAAAGACGTACATGCTTGTTTTAGACTTGACTTTGAATCATGGATATACTAAAAGTTGGAAGGTTGGCACATCCATACTGAGGCGTCTCCAGGCTGACAGTTAGGTGACCTCAAAAAGCCTTTACCAGTAATTCTGAGCATGCATCGAGGCGGTTTCTTTTGCTAGAAAACCTCCTATAGCACTATACACACACACACACACACACCCACACACACACCAGCATTTCCTTTCTTGGAGACAGCAAATATCGCCTCTATCTTTACAAACATCTTGCACTTATGCACTCTTGGCTTAAAATAAACACCCAACTTGCTACAGAAGAAAGACAATGAAATAATGCTGCCATATATACCATATATATGCACATATAATGTGATTTTAAATCAGATTTGGAAATCACAGTTTGTAAAATGCCACAAAATGAAGCCTGGTTGTGCAATAGTGAATTTGTTGCTAAGAACGTAAATCAGGCAGTATGAACCCAGTTTACCTAAAAATCAATCTTGTACATCTCTGTGGGGGAATTTTGGCACACTGTTTATTGCAGGATTGCTTTTATTCCGCCATTTTGAATCGTTTTCAAGCATTACAGCTGTATTTGACTAATTCACTCTGAAAAACTTTTGTTCTTTGATCCAATCAGCGGTGATCTCGCTAGAATCCTAGGGATCATTGCCCTGCTCCATAAGCTTCCCAGACAGATTGTCCTTCAGGATTTTCTACTGCTGAGCAGAATTCATGGATCCAAATGAAGGAAGTCATCCAGGTCCTGAAGCACCAGAGCAGCCTCAGATCTTCACATTGCAACACTGTGACAACATGATGTTCTTCTTCTGAAATGCTCTGTTTGTTTTACGGCAGATGTAACAGCTTGTACTTCTTCCAAAATGTTCCTCTTTTGACTGCAGAAGATTTACTCAAAAGGTCTGGGGGAGCATCAAGATATGTCACAAAATATAAAATAGACCTTTTTGTTATTCTACTGGGGTTTTTCTTCTTCTTTGAACTCTCCACTGGATGGCATTTTTTCCCCCAGGCTTTTTCTTATTTACAAATCATGAACTCTGATCTTAATTGAGGGAAATAATTACACCTTACTTGGTGTAAGGAGACATACTAATACTTTATATTCATATTAAATAAAAATGGTCCGACATTCGAGTCTTGAGGAACCTACCTAATGTTTATTCACTCAAATTTATAATCGGCAAATTATAAAAAGCATTGTCAATTTACCAATTATGTTTCCATTAAATTGAAAAAAATATATATACTACTTTCCACTGTATCAGTCACAACATTCAATTTATTTGGTTGTAATTCAGACAAAAAAGGCGTTTCTGACCTAAGGAAATGCCTTCCTAATCAAATATACGTGTTCATTTACCCACATTTATTACAAACTTTGCTTCCCTCAACACTCATTCTGAACTTATTTGGTAATATTTAGATGGAGTAAAATCTCCTTTGCTTTGTTTTTCTACTTTAATCTTGCCAAATAATTAAAAATATATGATGAGAAATAGCAGAGGACATAAACTGAAAGAAAAAGTAACTACCTAAACCAGTTCAGCCAACCTTTGCAATTACAAACGTGAGCAACGCAGGAGCATAAGACACACCTGCCTTCCTGTGCATGCCGACGCTGATCCCCTCTGAGAATCGGACAGCAGTTCTCAGAGCATTAAAACCGCAGAGGGGAGGGGAGCTCAGCACTGACAGAGCAACTCGCCTCACATGGTCGTCCCAGGCACACAGCCGAGCAGATTATCCCGTGTCTACATGACAGAGAAGCATAAACTGCATGCAAAACTGCAGCCTGACATGCTTGACTTAAAGTAGAATCAGGTGGTTTCCTTCTCCATCAAGCGTATGCGGTTTGAAACAATAAACCAAACTTATTTGGTTTGGTACTAACTGCACAAAACTAGTGAAAACCCCAAAACAATAATCAAATGAATTTTGAAGCACAAACAAACAAGCAGTAAACTTCTGAGAGGCTGCATGAAAGGCTTCCACTCAGTAATGATGAGTCATTTCTGAGTTTCACTCATTGAAGCCCTTTGATGTGGGAATCATGTAGCATATAGAGCTCAATATTAACTGTGATTAGGTTACACAACCTGTCAGATCTGAAGATCTTACCTAAATGACAAGTATAATGATAAGTGTTTCCCCCCCTCAACTTAGACAATTTTGAAAACAAGTTTATTGGAAGGAAGGAAAATCAAGCACATTGGTATGTATCACTGACAGTTTTACTCATCCAAAGCACAGAGGAAGTGAAGTTTCTTTCTCTCTAGAAGGTAAAATTAAAGGTTTTCCTCGATCAGCCATTTGGAGGCATTCTGAGAACCAAACAGAAAACTTTTTTTTGCGCATAGGTAAAGCCACAAAACCAGTCATGTACCGGATAGATGCTACTGTGGCTAAAGATCTGTATGACACAGGATGGGAGTGTTACTGCAAAGCAACTGTACCAAACAAACAATGGTGCACATACTGAAAAGTGCTTAGCCAAAATGTCTGTGACACAGATGAGATCTCTGCAGTTCAAATATGCCACGCTTTACTCTCCAATGCAAAGCTGCTGAAATCCATGCACCCTCTCAAGTCTAGACTTTAAGGAGCTTTCTCTTCTTGCAGCTTGTAAAAGGTTCACATTCCTCACGCTGTCCAAACTCATAAGACCTAAACCAGCTCACTGTGCAGTGCACTGCAGGGATGCTTCATGCCTCTGTAGGTATGTGGCCATCAAACCCCAGAATCGGGTCATGGAGCAATGCTCCGATTTCGCAGTCTACTTCAAATCTTTTGGTTGAACTTAATGAAAAGTAGAAGGGGGAAACAAATCTCAGCTTTTGCTGCACAGACTGAGACATTTCCAAATTTGACAGAAACCAATGATGTCAGATATTATCCCCAGTTAACTAAAAATTGAATATGTATGCATTTTTTTAAGAAGATGAAAACTATGACTGCACAAAGGGTTAAAACCTAAAAGGCAACACTGCTCAGCGAATAGAAGAAACCCTGTACAGGCCTGGACAACTTATGCTACTTAGCCCGCTAGCTAAAGTCTACAGTTACTAACCTTACCTGCACATGACAAGCTAACTTTGCTACATTAGCTGAAGATGCTCCCATTAGGTAAATGTATCTGCAGAATAATCTCAAAACCTTCAGTTTTGTCTCACGTTTTGCTTACATGCTTTACCCCAAAACAAACACACGCACTTTCACTTTTTTTAACCCCAAACCGCCCAGAATGTTGCTAGTTAGCTTAAAAGCTAGCACCAACGTTAAAGTTTTTAGCATAAACGTTACACTTTATGTCTGTGTTGCATATTGAAGATAATAAATGGCAGCTATCGGGCCCGTGTCAAGCTAAAGCCAATGTCACGCTTTGTTTTCACAGTATCTCCCTCTCGTTGTAAGCTGGAGTCCTAACAAAAAAAAAAAAAAAGCTGTGGCAAACCCACTCCACTCGACACCGTCACAAAGTCAGTGTTCACAGACAATTTTTACCGTAGCTTCGGCCACCGGCTTCCGGAGACCCGTGTGCTCTTCCCCCGGCAGCCGTCCTGGATGTCAGTCCTATAGGTGCTGAAAATCCACTAAAACAGCGACATTTTGCGGTCGCTTCGCTGGCTTACCTCCGTCTAAAGAGAGCGAGAGCGACCTCCTTCTTGCGTTCGTGCAATCAGAGCTGCACAGATTCAGCAGGGTTGCTTGCCCTCCCTCTATCTATCTATGTACATTCGCGGATGTGCACACAGAACGGGTAATGCCAGCTTCTGTTATGCGTGCAAAAAAGGCGGGAGGATATTTTTTTATTAATGTACGTTACACCGGTTGCGGGGATACCTGCGCACCGGAGTCCTCAGCCCCGCTACGTGGCCCCGGCAAAGCTCTTAGCTTACGGCCCGGCCGTCCTCCCGCGCTCATCCCAGGCATTCAGGCCGCTGTCTGGGCGCAGGCGCGCCGCTCGGTGTCTGGATTCTTTTGGTCTTCCCTGGAAGCTAGACACTGTTCAGGGCGCGCACACAATGGGAGAAATCATACAGGAATCTGTATTCTCCTTCTGGTTCTAAAATTGTACTATTTTACTTATCTCACCTTATCTCTGGGAGTTTATTTCAATAGCACTATTCATACACAATTTAATTACCTCAAGGTTCCTTGCAGGAAAACCAAGGAACAAATGTAAAGAAATACATTTCTTTAAGTCTAAGCACAAAAGAAATAAACATTAAAAATTATTTTCTCTTTCTTTATCTTTATAGAAGAACTGCAGTGGCAATTTCAGCACTGATTTAAAAGACAAAACTTTTTCTTCACATCACTGGTTTTCAGGAAGTTGTTCCAGGAACTGAAGAGCTTAGAAACTGAAGACTTTGTCAACTGGTTTAACTCTGGTACTTGGAATACTGGCTAGAATATTTTTGAGAACTGTAGGTGTCAAAATGGTTCACATTACCTTTATTCTGTCAATGTTTTTTTCTAAGATGGTAACACAATGTTTTACAAATAGACAGGATGTCAAAACTTGATGGTAGTTTTAATCACGACTCCTAATTGTTTACCTTGTTTTTGGATCCAATAACTCGTATGGAGCCACTGACGTAGAAGACTTTGGCCACTAGAAATGTAAAGTTGTCAGTGTTGTTTTGATGAATTACATTTTACAGGTACTGAAAAAAAGTGGTTCAAGGATAAAGCCATGAGGGCCCTCCACATGTAATATTTGGTTATTCAGATGTGTAAAACAAAATAGTTGTTAGGCCAATTAATATCTGGACCAATCTCAAAAAATATAACCCATCAGTATGTTATGATTAGCGGTGTCACAGACCAATTTTTTAAGACCAAGGGGATACATTAGAAAAAATTTTATTCCACCAGTTCAAACGTCATGAAGCTTGAAAGTGTCAGTAATCAGAAATAACCTAACCTGCTGTTCTGGAATAGAACAGCAACAAAATCTAAGCACGAGTCACACGTGGCATTATCATTTCTGGTTGTTCAGGGTTTTTTTTTTTTAATTTAAAAGTACAGATAATAGACCACAATTGGGGGCCTTGATTACACATTTCCACACAAATTGTAAAATACAGGATTAAATACGGTGCATTTTAATTATCATTAATCCAATTCAGACTGTCAGTAATGTTGGTTGAAGACAAACTCAATTCCAACCTAATAGAAAATTATCTAATGTGATCAGTTTTGGATAAAATGTTTGTAAGATATTCATCTGGTTCCATGAGATTTGATAAAATTAAAAGGCTCTTTCACTAAATACACCCACAGCTAGGAGGTAGAAAGACATCTTTATTAACTTGCGTCATTTCTGAGACATGGGGCTTTCTGATAATGTCAGTAAAACTAAAGAGAGCATACACTTTATTGTTAGATAGGCACAACCTAATTTGTACAAGATGGCAACATTATTTGTGGAAAAATACCCTTTAGGGTGAAATCAAAAGAAAGCCTTTCATTTGAGATCTGAAAACTGTTTTACAAATGAACTTTCAAGCACAATAATCATTTGCAATTTAGTATGTCTTAAATCAGTTACCAGTTCCCTTGATGCTTCAATGTTTCTTTCATGCAGTGCTCCCGTTCTGAGGGAAAACTGCAAGTCAAATTAACTGCACTAATGATCTTCCTCAAAGTTTTATACGTTTAGGATAAAGGTGGAATAATTCTCCTCCTTGCTTCCATACACAAGAGTGGACTTCATAAATGTATTCACAGACCTCTCACTCTATCCCCCACCATTCTGCAAACAGCAGAGCCAAGTCCAGTGGTAGTTTGAGAAAGAGTGGGAGGAATGTATGTGAAGATGCAAGAACCATCTGCTGAATCATCAAGCCAGCCCCTCTGTGGCCCATATCACAGCTGGTTAAGGTGGGAGGCCATCACTGGGGCAGCTGCAGCAACGTGCCCTGTCCTGACGGCAGGTAAGTGACATTGCGGGCGCGTGAGAGCTGGAAGGCGATATCCTCCGCTGCCTCCAGCTTACGGAGCTCCACCAAGCCATCACCGGCATCCATCAGGGAGTTGGCGATGAGCAAGGCAGCCTGAGAATCCCCCTCTGCTGAAATGATGGCAGCCTGCTTCTGTTGCTCGGCCTAAGAAAGCGCACAGAAAAATGTCCGATTTAGACTGCTGAGCTTCCCCGAGGAGAATGCATATGAAGGTTTGCTGAACATGTGAGTAATACCTTTTCTACAACAAAACGGGCCCTCTCTGCTTCCTGCTGGGCCACCTGCTTCATCTCAACAGCCTCTGTGAATTCTTTACCAAAGGTCAAGTGTGTCTGAAAGGAGAATTGTGAATTAGTTTGGAGTTGACGAAAAAAAAAAAAAAAAAAAAAAAGTGACATTGTTGAAAAGTTTACAAGCAACTTCCTACCAGTGACACGTCATCCAAGATGAGTCCGAAGGTGGAAGCTCTTTCCATGAGATCCTCACTGACCTGTCGAGACACAAGCTCTCTCTGGGTGATGAGCTCCCCGGCATCAAACCGAGCCTGGAAGGAAAAAGATGCTTGACTGAGTGATTATTCCAACAATGTTAGAAAAAAAAAAATCCTTGCTTCCTGGCTCTTAAAGGCTCACCCACCACAACAGCCTTTAAGACCTCTGTGGTGATGGACGGCAGCACCCTCTCGTCGTAATCCTCGCCAATGCTGGTGAAGATGCGGGGCAGCTGATTCGTCACCGGCCGGAAGAGGATACGCAGTGTGATGTTAACATTCTGCAGATCTGCAGAATAAATGGTTCAAAGTGATTTAGAGAACATAACTTAACCGTGAGTTTAAGACATCATGTCATGAGTGCATTAGCTCTTCTTTTTTTTTTTTGTATAGTTGAAAAGGATTTGTAGAAACACACAGCCTGCCAGTTTTATGTTAAATCTGAGAAAAACATTCAGTGTTTTTTTTTTTTTTTCCATCTTCCCAACCTCCTGTGGCCACAGTAAATAGCTTCCCTTACTAAGCTCAGTTCTGATGGAGGTCAAAGGGTTGTGGTTCCTTTCCACTATCGCCACGTGTTTGTTTAGAAGAGACTTTTGCAAAGTCAAGGCCTTGATGAAATTTCCTGAAGAGATATTTTTTCCTCACCTGCATTATATTATTGGTAAGACTGAACCGGAAGGTATGTAATTGGATATGATTCTACCTATATCGCTGTATTGATTGTTCTAAACAATTTTTTTTTTATAAATTAATTGAATTTAATTTATTTAAATAATGCACCTTTGCTGCCAGTGATGACAGGCACGTTGCGTGGACGGGATCGACAATCAAAGATGATGGGCTTCTGAACCCAAGGAATGAGGAAGTGTGTTCCTTCACCGACGACTGCATCCTGTACACCTCTGAACCTGTCAAATATTACAGCCCGATGTCCTGCATCAACTGTAAAGAGAAATATTGCCATTAATACATATTATACATATAAATTGTGTATTACATGCTTTCTAACTAACATAGCTGATTACTTTTCTTGAGGTAAAAGAATTAGCTACAAATCCCAAAGTCTCAAAAACTGATTACTTAATCAAAAGAACAATTTATGCTTTCTCTAATAAACAAAAAACAATGCCTATATGGTCATTCGCTCATCGAAAAGCTAATGTCTTGTAAACTTGATATTGGAGCACTTGTGTGAATTTGTTGACTTATTTTACCCTTTATCCATTTAACACTTCTTGCTTTGGTCGTATACAAACTTTCTTTTCAGTTTACTTAACATGCATCAATTCTTACCCAGGGAAGTTTTGGACCCACTTTGACAGATAATGATTTAGAGACTTTCTGTAAATTTTTGCATTAAGTAATATAGACCATTTTGATCATAGTTAAATCAAGTGATTCTTATGCAGATGTCATATCTAATATAAATATGCATGTAGGGGGAAAAAAAAAAACAACAACAAAAAACACAAGCTCAGATCATAATGACTACATTTATGGAATAGGTACATTATTTTTTTAATGTACTATGTGCCAGATGTTCCCTTATCTAAATATTAACAAAGCTGTCCATGTGCAGCACTCACCGTTGAAGAGGGCGGAGTTCACAACACCTCCACCAACAGCAAGGGCGAGCCCCAACTTTCCAATAGACTCAAACAGCTTGGCCATGACCACAGCAACCTGCAGGTGAAAACAAGGAACGTTTCGGTGACCCCGACACACCTGCTACTTTACTGGTATGGCACGCTATGTAAACCAATTAAGTCTTTGTTGAAATCCTTAAAAAGCCACCGTTAATCCCTTCACTGCAGGACAAACAAACAGTGGCCTTGGTTGATGCCAACCAAGGCTGCAGGGGTAACGCTAATTTAGCTCATCATTAGCTAGCTTTAGCTTAGCGATTACCAGTGCATTGAGAGAGCTAGCAAATTCATACCAGATGTAATTATGTTGCTTCATCAAAGCAACTAAGATAGTATTAAGTGCAGTGTGCTGTTTGAAATGTATCAGTAAAATGTGTACGGCTTAAATCTTAACAGCTAGCAGTTAGCTTTCGCTGATGGAGATAAGACAGTGGAAACTCGTGCTCGTCTTACTCAACCCTCGGCAGGTCAAGGCAACCGTTTAACAACACATTTAATGCACAAAAAATGTTAATTTAGAGTAATCATGACTATTACACTAAGGTTTAACTTAACAGTTTTGTATTTTTTGTGTTCTGATTACAATATGTGTCATAACTAACCTCAGTTTGCTCCAACGACTGTGACCTCCACCGGACACGACGTACAACACATGAAATATTTCACTCACGGCGCCTGCGCACAGCGAGTCACAACCTGCCTTCTGATTGGATAAACCCCACACGGTTCTCTGCTTCGTCGAAAATTGCGGAAGAAGACATTTAATGCACCACTGCAATACCGCCACCTAGTGGCTTTCCGTGTTAGGGAAATAAAAATACACAATTGATCAATGGATGATGGATTCCTTTATTTTATGGGTTTTTTAAAAACAAAACATAAAATATGGTTTGTTTTTATTCCTGCAGGTGTGCACGGTATAATCCTGGTAGGAATAAAGCATTAAAGACAGAACAATGATTTAGTGTTAACTTTTCTTAAGAAAACTCATCAAGCTGGAGCTATTGTTATGATTTACTATCAAAATAAGTCATGCTTTTTGATTTAAAAAGATGATGGTGGAAACCACCTGTTGTGGTCTGTGGAAGTACTATACATGTTAATAGTTAGGAGCTCTGAGATTTCTAAATCACAGTGTTTTACTTATTCTGCTCCACAAATGTAACCCTTCACTGTATGTCCGTGATGCAAACAAGAAAGCCAGATTTTAAAATGTTGGTTGCAAGAGAAAGACCTGAACTGTGAAAAAATGTGAGTTGGTTTTCAGGACCTTATGCCAGGTGGGATCTTACAAACATCATCTACAAAGCTTACTATACCTGAATAAATATTTGTGTGCAAACCTTTATTTTCTAAACTTTTACACTGTTTACACAGTTGCAAAACTGTAATGTGATCAAATAAATTCACTCGTTTCCTGTCTTTGAATACGGATTGGTATTTTGTTTAATAATAAAAAGAACCACTGACTGTCATTGTTTTGCAAAATACAGATGATCCAATTGTTACCAACATGAGCATGGTATGCTTTTATTTTCGCGTAGCAACAAAATTAGGACAATGCTTCTGATCACATCATCTGCAAACTCTCTGTTTTTACTTAGTTAAAAAATGTCTCTTCTTTATTTTAGTAGAGACGATAAAACAGTTGAAGCACCAACAAACAGATGAAGCAGCTCTAACCTGCTCCCATACTCAGAGCAACGACCTTTGGTTGCCCCCTAGTGGGAAGAAACCAAACAAAATATACTTAGTTTCGCTTTTCCTCCTCTTCCCGTGAAGAGTGTCGAGCTTTGAAAGTTGTCGAGAAAAGAGAAATCAGCTTGAAACACATACAAGGTCAGTAATGTTTACATTCGAGCGAGATCCGCAGCGCTACGCCGAATAATTTTATCGTTTGTGTTGCGATCTGATTCAGCCGAGATGTGCCTGATTTATTTACTTCCTTGACACTCGCCTCTGAAATGTGGCCTGTTTTCTCGTTATGGGGTAATTACGCGCCTCTTACTGATTTCTGGGAGCAGATTTGACGCCAAAACGCTGAAATCAATATAAGTAGAAACAGTACAAGCCTAAGCAAGTGGAATGTCTGAAAAGCTTCAGTACGTGCAGCAAAGTAGTGCTGAATTCAGTCAAAGAGCAGCAAAGTAGTTGACAGTCGGTTAGTGGGGAGGAAGAAGACGAAAGGAGGGGAACATGGGGGCGTGGGGGTAACAGCTTTGTGCATCTTTTTAAATTATTTTTATTTAAGTAAGCGTCAGACAAGGGGGATTGGCTCTAAAGAAGAATAAATAACCAAACGTCACACATTTTGGCTTCGTAAAAATTCAATATAATACACCACTGCCTTATAATCTCTTCAGCTCTTCTTTAGAAGTAAAGATGATTAAAAACCCACCGATGTGAAGTTGATTGCCATTTTTTTATTTGCAGATTTATACATATAACGTTGATTAAGATAGATTTTCTTTTTGTATATTGATGTAATGTCCTTGTAACCCCAGGAGAGGGCGATATAATCTGACATATCTTTGTTCCTGTATGTAAGGGTGGGGTCCCCACATAGAAACCCCTATAATTAACAGAGGCGTGACACTTTTGTTTATTTTTATTTTTCACCATCAACCATTATTATTCATAATCAACGTCCCTCCAGGAAAACTTATTTTTGATTGGTTGTGCTGTGTCATTCTTATATAGAAAGTTTCTCCCACTCAGCAGTGACAGTGGTTCTTCCAGCAGATGGCAGAAGCGGGCAAGATTGTCCGGGTGAGCGGGCTGCCCACGGAGCTGGAAGATGACAGGCTGAAAGACAAGTTACTCATTCACTTTCTCAGAGCCAGGAATGGAGGAGGGGAAATAGACCATGTCACGATTGTGAAACCACCGCCTTTATCTGCTCTCATTACCTTTGAGGACAGTGCAGGTCAGTCGTTTGAAGTGTTTTCTTGAATAAACAAAAACAAACCAACAGCACCTTGCTTAATTCCATTTGGTTTCAGTGGGAAGGATGTGGCTAGCAAAATGTACTGATTAAGTATTCATCAGTATTTTTACCTGCATACATTAAAAACTGAATTCTACCCATTTGCTGGTCAGCATATGAAATAAATACATCAACAGTGGCCTTAAGAGGAAGACTTGTTGCTGCTCACCAATGTAGGAGGCATTTTAAGACAATTTCCAAACAATCAAATGCACTCTAGAGTCAGATTTTCAATTCTTGGTAAAAGAACTTTACAGCTCTCACTTCATTTCCCCAGCAGAAAGCCTCCTTTCTGTAAAATGAATATGACAACACAATTTAGGTTTACAAAACTCGACCTGGTTGAACCACAAGATTTCTCCAACAAAGTCCCTTGAACCAGTTTAGCAAGAATGGAGATTATTGACCATAATGCATTGCTCCATGTTTGGAGAAAACCAAATACCTTACAAGTTGCGGAGCGAAGATGATTTGGGTTAATTTTGAAGCCACAGAACCTGGAAGCATTCTAGCCTTTGAAAAGACCGTTTACTCTTCTCTATACCAAACTATTGAGTCATGTTTGAGGCCAGGTATGAAAAGCTTTGTCATAACCCCAAACACAGCAGGATATCTACAAGATATAGAATGGAAATAATCAATATTTTTCAATGGCCCAGTCCAAGTACAGCTATCTATATGATTGAAGCTGTGCAGAAAGTTATTCTCTAATCATAATGAATTTATCCACATTAATGTGAGAGACTGATAAAACTAGACAGAAAGCAACTATTTCTGTTGCTGCTAAAGGGGATTCTGAAATCCATTTAACCATTGGGATGTACTTACTTCTTCAATCACAGCTTTTCCACTTTAACTTCATCTTTGTTTAATAAATAATCACAGTATTGCATCTGTTGTGTGTTATTGTGCACTTGAAATTAGATTTAAATAATTGCAGGTCCTAATAAAGATCATTTTTATTGTTTCCTGACACATAAAACTCCACCCAAGTCTCTCAGCTCAACATAAATAATTTCCCATCTATCAAAATTTAGGTGCATCCATTTACATAGCATCAGTACAGCCTGTAGGCTGTCACCAGTGATTTAAGCTGAGCTGAAATGCCTGTATGCAAGTCAGTGGAGCAGCCAATGGCAGAAACGCTTAGTCAGGATGCTTTTCAGACTCTGATTGATTTCCTTCCAATGACCCCTCTCACACAGTGGCACAGAGAATTGCTCAACGATCTCGGCACATTCTGGAAATAGATGGGAAAAAGTATGAACTCGATGCTTCAGAGAGCCCAGGAAGCTTGGACCCAGACCAGGTACAAAATATTACAATTTTGTACAGTATGTCAAGTAATTCAGTAAGAAGGGTGAACTTTAATTGTGTTGCTTTGGGGTTTTCAGGTTGTCTTAAGCTTAACAGCAACGGTTGACTACAGCAGACTTCCTGGGGGAATCAAGGCACTAAAAAACCTTTGTAAAAGTCATCAAGATGTCCATATAAAGTCCATTGCTACTGAGATGTGTTGCACACTGGTTGGCTCGTACTATAAAGTGCAGGCTGCTTTGACCGAACTACTTGGTCCCGGATTCTCAGAGAGCAAAAACTCAGGTCCAAATGCCTCCAGCAGGACTTGGTCATTTCAGACATCACAGAAACCTCAAGAGTCAGAAGATCAGAGCAGAGAACCAACCAGGCAAGAGGAACACAGAGAAGTCAAAGATGACGCTGATGTTTCAGCAAAGGGGGAAAACGTCTCTTCAAACAGAAATCATGCACTTGGTGGTGATGACTGGGAAACTGTCAGTCACACAGATAGCGCAGCTCGGCGCTCTCCAACTGCTTTCATAGAGGAGTCCTCTTTGATTGTGGATGCAGACGTGTTCCAGTATCTGGAGAATCACTGCAAGAAGGAATACCAGCAAATCCTCAGTCAGTTTGGTGTTGAGGTGGTGAGCGAAACAAATCAGGGCCTGACCACTCTGTTCTTGCAGATTGCTGATACAACAGCGGTGGAGGAGAGGCAAGAGAGCATGAAACTAGCTAAACAGGCAATAAGTCGACTTTATCACGAAAATGAGGCAAAGATCTGTCGAGACCAGCTCCCTAAAAATATACTTCGCCCCAGAGGAGGACTGCAAAGGGAACTGGAAAACGTAAGTGCAAGATATCCAAAACTTCTTCTGAATGAAGATGAGCAGAATATTTACTTTATTGGTAGCAACAAGGATGTAGTAGATGCCAGATACTCTCTTCTAATAGGCCAGGAGGAAGTTAGAAATAAAAAGGAAGGTGTTGCCAGTCTTCTTAATTTTCCTTCATATAATTCTGGGACATCACCTTTTCATTCTGATGAGGAGCGACTACACCAGACTATGCCTCCTACTGAAGGACAGCTGAATGAAAGGATAGATCGGCTGCAGATATCTGAGGAAGATGAACTAAGAACTGATGGAGCAAGAAGGTATAAGCTAGCTGCTCGGTTTAAAGACTCAGGACTTTCCGTTTTAGGCGGCTTTCCCTTCCGTCCAAATTCATCACCCAGCAGGCAAGCACACCAGGATCCGATTCTGGGGCACGATGTGCTGTCCGGATCAACAGGGATTTCTGGTGAAGGAATTTCTAGAGCAGCAGCCCAAAATACCGGAGGGGACATATTGTTCAAAACCGCGCATACATCTCCCTCTTTATTCTCACCAATTAAAACCTCTTTAACTACAGATATGATAGACACCCGACCAAAAAACTTAGCAACTCCGTTTGCTTCAATTCCTTACAGCCTTCCAAAAAGCAGTGCATTTCCACCTTCAGAGTCTGGATCCACTTTAAAGCGAGCCAGTAGTTTCTCAGGAACACCTCAACAGAAAGCTCAAATCCTGGGCCAGAAGAGCCAAGACGATTCCAGCAAACCTACAGTCGGAGTCCGCGAACGGTCTTCCAGCTTTAGTAGCCAGACAGTGAGGAATAAACAAGAAGCCCATCATGAAGAGATCTCAGTTTCCAAGGTTATATGGCAATACATAAAGGAAGCCTACAGTACCCGGGTGGAGGACCTCACTTCTGATCTCCAGATGAAAGAGAACTCCTCTGAGGGCAATCGGAATTTGACTGTTATCTTAAGAGGGGCTGATTCGTCCAAAGTGAAATTATGTCGGGAACGTTTACAGAAGCTTGTTGACTTAGTCAGTGGTGACTTCTCAGTTCAGGAGCTGCGCTTGTCGGAGTTGGGGGTTTCTAGTACCAAAGATGAAACCTTACAGGCTTGTTGCTCTGAAGTGCGGAGCCGCTTCAAGAAGGTTGTCGTCCACACGATGAAGGAAAACTTGTATCTCGTTGGTCCAGAAGAGCTGTGCTCCCAGGTTGCTGCTACGCTGAGGGAGGTATTTTCTAAAGAACCTGAACAGCACGACTTCTCCGACCAATTTTTGCAATTGAATGCAACCCAAAGGAGAAAACGAGTCCCGGACAGTACGTATCAGGTGGTGTCCACCCAAGCTGGCATCGTTGATGGGAACAGTGAGAGTCATCAATGGAAAACAACCTATGGTAGAGACTTTGGTGAGAAGGGGCTTGTGAATGGATCAAATAGCCAATCATCACCGAAGAAAGAGAAAGTCTCCAAGGAAAAACAGGATGGAAACACAGTTGAAAAGAATTCTTTGAATGGTGAGAAAGAGAGAACATTACAGGCTAACCAGCAGGATACTACAGAGCACACACCTGCAGAGACCCAGAGCACCTCAGAGAAGTCCAGGTCAGGTCTGGACGGGCAGATCTGTATTTGTGGGACGGACAAGACAACATTGGTGAGGACCAAGTGTGGAGTCACATTGTGCCCAGAGTGCCTGGGGATGTCGCACTCTTACTGCAAAGTCTGCAATGAGGAGGTAGAGCAGACACTCCAAGGCATCTGTGGTGAAATGAAGAAATCCAAACTGAGCATGAGTTTGCCAGGTCAACACAAGGGCGGCGTTATCAAGATCACTTACCACATTCCTAATGGTATCCAAGGGGTGAGTAGCCTACTTAAAATCTTATGTCGCTGTTATCTGATAAAGAGCTTGTGTGTTATCTTTTAGAGAGTCTGATAGGGCTTTCACTGTTGCTGAGAAAGCAACCAAGACAAGGATGCTACTCAAAACCCGCATTTCCAAAGTAAATTAGACCTCAATTCCTAGATAAATATAGACCGCTTTCGCAAGAAAAAAAGACCTTTACATTTTTTGACAGTTTAGCATCAGAACTTTTCACAAGCTAACAGCATACCCTCTGCAGTTATGGATGCAAGTTTCATCCAAGGTTCCTAACTATGTAAAAAAAAAAAAGAAGAACAAAAAGTGTTTTAAGTTTCTTTCTATATTGGCGTTTGAACATAACTTTTAACACCATTGTCCTATTTACTTAACTTGCAGCCCACCCAACAGGTTTGATTAAACTGTTTTGCAGTGGCATATTTTTGCCTGCAAATCAGTTCAACTTGCACTTTCTAATGTGCTAATGCATATTAATTGACAGACATAAAAACATAGAACTTTTGTGCTGTCCTGTAACATTACAAATCTTTAACAAAGTGAATCTTTCATCCAGTCCATTTAACGGGGTTAAATAATTATCTTAACTACCAATGCCCAAGAACAGGAGATTCTTAAAGAGATGGGGACAAATTTCAAGTTGTAAAACAAATTTCTTCTAAGTTGTATTTGATATGTAAAGCCTTTTTATTACAACTGATTACAACATGGTTACTTGATAGTGCTATAAAATGGGACTACTTTCCTAGAAAATGCATTATACTATCCCTTTAATTAAAGGTCTCGAGGCTTTTGCCAGAAAACTAAAAATTGGACCATCTCTGGGTCTTTCAGCAGGTTAATTCTGAACCAAATCAACAGAAACATTGAACTAATTTGATTATAAAAGTGATTTTTTTTTCTACAGGTTTACCCAAAGTGTCAGTGTTCGCAAATGGGTTATAGCTATTTCATTAGTACTGTGCTATCAATTGTGTATCTTAGCACTTTGGTTCTAATGTGATTTATCTTCGATCAGGAGGGTCATCCATCACCTGGAAAACCATTTAAGGGGGCGGCATTTGAAGCCTACCTCCCAGACAATGAAAATGCGAGGAAGCTGCTTCCCCGGCTGGAAAAAGCCTTCAGGAGGGGCCTCACCTTCACTGTGACAGGCAAAGGGACAGAGGCCAAGGTCGTCTGGGGCTCCATCCCACACAAAACCAGCTTATATGGAAGCAAATCTGAGTCAGTGAATGCAGTTTGAATCTCCAGGTCACTGCTGTTTATCGAAAAATCTGGGCTAATTTGTTCTTATTTTGTCTCTTGCAGGAAAGGGTACCCAGACTCCACCTACTTGACACGTTTGTCCAGCATCTTGACTTCCTATGGGATTTCGTAGTCATCGGCATGGTCCAAATTGAAAATTTACTGAGAAGAAACTTTTACACATACGTTTTTAATATAATGTCAACTGTATTAGCCATTTGTCTTATTGTATTATGTTGTAAAATGTCCGTCATTCCTTATTTATCTATGAATGTAAATAACAGAATTGAGAATGGAAATAATATGTATATACTATTTTTAGGCTTTTTTTAAAAGCTTTGGTTCTAAGTTTTTTTTTTTTTTTTTTTAAAGAACGTGCTTGAATCTCTGAATGTTTAATGTCCCGATGCCACAGTTTGGATCATTTCATACAGCATTTCTGAACTTTTTATTTTTTTTTATTTTTTTTTTACTATTTCGACTAATTCAGTTTTTATACAAGTGTATTTCTATGGTATGATGTGCGCCTCACTGTAAAGATAGGCACTTCGGAGCATTCTGTATGGGTTTAACCACAATCCATCTAGCTATTTTCAAAATACTGGAGGGCATAAATATAAATAAAAAGAGCACATTTCCTGACTTTTTTTTATGCTTTTTTTATTAGTCCTGGAAAACATGTAAGGCATATGGTAACATTACACACTGAAGCGTTACAAGCTCTAAAGGCCATGTGGACAGCATGGCACCACGCGGTAAACCCAGAGTCAAGCACAGAAGCAGCATCAGTTCAAAGGGTTTAAAAAACAAAGACGGGACGAGGAGTGTGTGTTTTTCTGCTTTGATTTTCTCTTTTTAACCCAAAAAAACATCAGAGCGAAGGGAATGTGGAAGTCACCTGTTGGGTATCCGCTGTAGAAAATGACCAGAGCTAACAAGAGGAGGGTTGTGAAGTGAGTTTTTCCGAAGCGTTCCCAGAGATAGGTTAAGATGCCACACGGCTTTACCAGCTGGCCTTGGCAACGCCTGTGCTGAAGGTGAGAGCAGGGACTCTGCGGTGGACTGGCACTCTCCTCCTTCACACCACAATGCTATGGAAAACTGGTGAGAAGCTACACACATGTGCTTTATTTTCTGGTTGACTAAACATGCATTCTAATACTGTACTGTACATGAAAAGCCCTGGCAGATTGTGCTTTTTTTTTTAGCATCTCTGCAATGCATTACTCTTAAAAGAGACTGCAAAGAACTTAGGAGCTGCAGGCAGATGTTTGAGTGGATATGAGCCACTGACTGATCCTTCTTTCACATCGGATGAGGCTGTGAAGGAAAATCATGCAGTCGGAGTTTGTGTCATGAACATCGTGGAACGGCTGTGTGTGTGTGTGTGTGTATGTATTAGTGGTGAGGAAAACTGCAGTTTGGAATGACCTGAGAAACCATATAAAATGAAATAAAAATTTAAAAAAAAAATCACATCAAAGCTCGACAGTGACGTTTCTGTGAGGAACTTTAGAGAGAAACGAGAGAGAAAGAAGATGAGGATTTGAAATACTGACCTCAACGCTTGTCTTCAGGCCCTAATTTAAGGGTGCTAATTGGTGCAATCGTATCTAGGAAAATGACCACGCGTTGCCTATTTTTACATTGTAATGCTTTTTCTTCTCCCCTACTGCACATCTCTGTGTTGCTCTTGCAAAGTGTCTGGAATGACTGGGAAACCACTTCAAGATGACATACAATCCGGCTTCACCAAAGTGGAAGAGCTTCCAGACGGCAGACCAAAGTAGGAAGGGGATGGGCCTACTTTTAACCAAAAAATCCACTTGAGCTCAAACTCCAGACATGAAGCACCGCCTCACTGATTAAGATCATCTCAAAGGCATTGGCTCCATTGAACCAATGGGGAAAAGCTGGAAGAAAAAAACAAACAAAAAAAAAATAAACTAATCTGTTTTCCACATGCAGATGGATGCATGCAATATCAAATTCCAGATGTCAAAATGATGTTTTATTCTCTGTGAAAGTGAGTGCAGAGGGAAAGGGGTTTATACCGGGAGGACTGTTGGCTGGCTGCTAAACTGCTGCACGGGCCAAGAAGCTCTGCAGATGCAGCGCAGGAAGAGAGAAATGACTTACAAACCTTCAGTGAACAGAGAGAGCGCGGCTGTAAAGCGGAAATGTTGCGTCTGGGGCAGGCTGGGGCTGATCAGCCAATAAGCTGGGGCCTTGTTGGGCTGTTTTACAGTATCTGCATCACTGCACAGCTGTGCGAGAACATCTGTTTTCCTCACTTTGCTATACGGACCATTTGCAAACACGCTGGCAGAAACATATGCACAGAAGAATGCGGCGAAGCTTTGGATTGTGAGGAAATCTGGTGAAGTTTAGAGTCCTAATCTCTCCTTCCTTTTAGTTGTAGGATAATCAGATTTTTGTAGAGGTAACCTTTTTTGAATGGAGAGAAAACAGAAGCAGACCTTAGTCTGAGCAACCAACTAAAACCCACAAACTTTTTGGAAAAAAAAGTCCCATTATTCCCTGATATATGAAACTGCTGCATATCTGCATTTTTTCCCCTCTTCTGGGTTGATGGAAATGCATCCCAAGGCAGGTTCTTTTTTAATATATTTTTATGCACTGTTAATATTCAAAGCATTGACAGAGGAATATACATACAATTTGGCACACATGGTTTGGACCAACAGAAAAAAAAACAAAAAAAACTTCATCACATTTAAAAGGAGTGCAGGTTAGCAGGTCCCCACAGAGTACTGTATGAGCTTTGAACTTTAAACCCTTGGATAACAAAAAAAACAAAAACAAACCAAAAAAAATATAAAGGTAAATCAAAATAACATAGTTAGTAAAACATTTTTCTTTCTTTCTTTTTTTTTTCTTTTTTAACTGAAGCAATTGTTTCTCACATGGCACTCGGAACAGAAGCACCGTCCACAGGTTCACAAAGGGAGCCCAGCAGATTAGAACAGAACACTAACCAGAGGCTGACAGAGCACAATCACTCCCCACACCAGCATGGCTGTCGCACTCCAGTCCATCTCACCCAGCTCCGCGTTTTGTTTCCCACAGCCGAGAAAGAGCGAATGCTTTTGAAAAGTTGGAGCGCATGAGCGGAACCTTTGCACAAGTAAATGCGTTTGTGCCACCTGTTCTGAAAGGATGAGAAGCAGGCTGCAAATCTGGAGCAACAACAACAACAAAAAAAAGAAAGACGACAACTCAAAGCCAGGCTGAGACTGGAGTGCCACCGCCATGCTTGCAAGTGCATTAAGATCAGCGAGCAGAGTGCAAAATACTAATACCAACTGTCCTCATAACACAGGCCTCTTATCAGACAGGAGGGAGAGATGGAGGAGGGTCAATGTGAAGCTACGTCGTTCTGTAGCGGAGTAGTGTGAGGTGGGAATGTGGCAGGGAGGGCGAGTGATTTTAAAACCTGACAAACGACCTGAGGACACACGCACGTCTTCACACACAATGGCACACCACACACAGCACATGAGGGAGGCCACTCATGCCAACACAAAAACTTTTTTTTTTCCCATTTCTTTTTTTGGAAACATTTTTTTTGTTTGTTTTTTACAAAGTCACTAGTCACCATCTGAGTCTGAACACTGAAGCCGGACCCAGAGGCAGGCAGGCAGGCAGGCAGGCAGGCGGGCAGGCGGTAGTCAGGAAGGTGTCATTTTTAAAGATGATGACACTGAGACGTAAATTTTCAATGTCCATGAGCGGGGCAGCAGTCTGCCACACTAGCGAGCAAACGGCCACTGATGCACACTGTTAGCATTAGAAGCTGAACAGTGACTTTACACAAGCATTAGCACTGTGTAGCACAGCTAGTAGTTACAGGTAGAAAGAACAGATGCATTTTATCACATGATTTATCATATCTACCCTTTTGGCAGACATAGTGTCATGTAGAAGTGTTTCTCTTCTATTTTTTCCTTTTTGGTACACCTGATGTTCCACATCATTATACACATCCTAATATTAGGCGAGGATAGCCTGATTAAATACATAAAGCACTTTTTAAATACTGAATTATTAGGAATAAAAGGTATCCAAATCAACCTGACTGCATGTAAAGAAGTAATAATCCAAAATGCTGAGTTTATTGTCAGCCATTCTGTATTGATCAAAATGAGAAAAATCTGACAACAGGAATGAAGCACATCACGCCCCGACCTAAACGAGTTCACAGCCATTTCTGAGGCTTTGGGACTTTTACTCACAAACAGAGGAAACATGGAACAGTCGTAAAAAGAGTGTTGGGTCTACCGAGATGACTCCATGAGCGCATCACCCAGGAGGTCGCAGAACAACATTTAAAGCACCGCAGGCGTGACTTTCCCTAGTTAAGGTCAATGTTCACGATTCAACAATAAGAAATTAGGTAAAAATGGCATCCAAGGGAGAGTTGACAAATAAAAAGGATTAAAATAGTTCTGCAAAGACGAATGGAACAAAGTAAAAAAAACAAACAAAAAAAAAACCTTCATTTCCAGTTATTGCAAATGCAAGACGGCAGTACTTGTTGCCAAGGGTGGCATAACCAGTTATTAGACATAGGGTTATTAAATTTAGCAGACAATTGCTTCTTCACACAAGGCCAGATTGATTTGGATAGCTTTGTTCCCTTAATAAAATCATCGATTGAAAACTAGATTATGTTATTCACTCCAATTATCTTTGATTTGCTTGACGAACTGTTCAATGTGGTTAAAAGAAAGGAAAAATAGAAGAAAACACTTCTTCACACCGCTGTAGTTGTTAAAATTTCAGTTATTTTTAGCATTGGAGTTCTTAATGTAGATGTAATATCAGCCATTAATGGCCACAGTAACGAAACCAACTATCAATGCAACATGTTAGACTTTAGACGGGGTTGAAATAAGGCTAGCCGAGTGATATTAAATGCTTAAAAAACAGCCTCACCTGCTGTTTTGATTCATTTTACTAAAACATCTTCAACCTGTTGAAATACCGGCTGACAGCACCAACTGCTGGCAAACGCATAGTCAGAAGAGCATGAAGGAGGACACACAGAGAGAGGGAAGAAAAAAAAGAGAGAGACCACAGTGCCATCTCTGACGAGCCTGACGCCTGTTGCTATGCCGACCACAAAGAGGGAAACAGAAAGAGGAGGAGGAGGGAGGAGGTGGGGAGGCGAAGCGCAGACAACAGCGCTGGCTGAATTCGCCTCTCCTGGGTCAGTGTGATCGAAAGGAAGCGAGGAATGCGATGAAATTCCTCTCGGAGGTTCAGGGAGGAAAGAAAGTCCAGAGCAAAGGAAAACAAAAAAACGAAAGAAAACAAAAACCTTCACCCTCTTCGCTTGCTCACTTCAAGCACCTCGCTGTCTTGGTGCGACAGCGGCTCTTTCATCGCATTTGGAGCGTGCGTGTCTGTGTGTTTGCACAGAAACAATTTCTTTCTTAATTGGCACCCTGAACTTCTTGCCAACAGTTGGTCGGCTAGAAAAATCTGTAACTAAGGAGAAGGAAGCTGGAAAATAATATCAGCCAGGCTATTCAACAGAGCACAGAGAGGCTCATTATGAGAGGAAAAGCAAGGACATGAACTCGAATGGAATTTGATGGGAAAGCGTTTCCATCGCTCTGAAACTCTAATAATTTTTTTTCTACGTAGTTAAACATGATGAGTGGAAAAAAAAAAAAAAAAACTATAATGAAAATATCTCCAGGGAAGGTGAGGAGCATCAGCCAATCAGAAGCATCTCTGACTCATCAGTAGTGACATAACTAAGCTGGACACAGAAAACAAATGCCGGTGGGTGGGTGTGGTTCTCGGTTTATCTGCCTGCCTTCGGTGCCTGTCTGTGGGTCCGGCTCGTGGGTGAGTGGGGGTGGTGGTGGTGATGCTGTGGGAGATGTGTGTGTTGGTGAGGGGTAGGGGGGACTCAGCACAGTGAGGGGGGGGAGGGGAGGAGGAAGAGGAGGCGGCAGGTGGAAGTCAGAGCAGAACAATTTAACACGGTGGGAGTCGAGATGCAGAGGGGGCACGGAGGGTCAAGGGTGGGGCCGGAGTGTGAAAGGAGATTAAGGTTGTCAGGGAGATGGTAATTTGCCCCCAGGCTCGGACCAAACCCACCATCCTCCACGGCTCTCCTGATGCTTTGATTCCCAATAGCAAAAATCGATTAATACTGTGAGGGGCAGAGGGTGGGAGATGAGATTAGAGCATATACGGGGTCTGAAGGATCAGATTTTTTTTCTTTTCTTTTTCTTTCTTTTTTTTTAAAGAGGTAAATATGAGGAACAGAAGAGGAAACGGGAGGTGGGAGCAGCCATGCCTGAGTAAATCACCCAGTAGGTGAGGCAGAAGGGAGGTAAAAGACTGAGACTGGTGTGATAATTTCCAATTTATCCCAACTCCTTCCCATCTTTGCTACCACTCCGCCCCCATCCCCCCACAGCTCCACCACCAAGCTCATCCCTGCCACCTCCCCTGCTCCCAGGACACAAACTCCCTGCTGCTGGTCTGCTTGACTATCCATCTTTCCCTCTCACTTCTCCTCCTTCTTGGCCTCTTCATTCTTCTCCTCCTCCTTCTTGGGCTCTTCCTTCTTCTCCTCTTTCTTAGGCTCCTCCTTCTTCTTGTCATCCTTCTTCTCCTCCTTCTTTCCATCGTCCTTCTTCTTGTCGTCCTTCTTCTTATCCTCCTTCTTCTTGTCCTCTTTCTTGTCCTCCTTCTTGGCCTCTTCCTTCTTCTCCTCCTCCGGCATGGGCTCGGTGGTGAGGATCACTTTGCCGATGTTGTTCCTCTCCTGCATCTTTCTCATGGCATCGCCAACCTGGAGGAAGAGAGTTGGACGATCAGAGGAAGCTGGACGACAGGACAAATAAAGCAAAGAGCACAAAGACAATTCTGAAATCCTCAATGAGAAGAAGAAGACAGGTCGCTCTCAAACTACACAAATCCAACGTATTATCTGCTGCTGTCCAAGCCTGTTATCTCTAATCTGCTTATTTAATACAGCTGCCTACAAAACCCACTTAGACTTCTTTTCAAATATGAAGAATAAGAGATTTTATAAATGTTTGAAAGGAAATTAAACTGTTATTGTCTGTTGCAGCAAGCAAAATATGGCGGAAAAATGCCCCCCCAAAAAATAATAATAGAGCAAAAGAGAAAAATAATCTAGTGATCAATCAAAAGCAAACATTTCATTGCCACTTCATTTTGTGCAATAGTTTTCAATATATTACGGTTTTTTTACTTAACCGCCATTTTTCTACTTTTTATCAAGTGGTTTTTACATGTTTACATGTACATGTTTTTATTAAGAAAAACTAGTATTTTTGTTATTTAAACTCATGAAGTTAAAACTTACAAACTCATTTTCAGCACCAGCTGTTATTTCAATCTAAAGCTATGCAACTTATGATGACAAAGTGTGTGTTTTGGTGTTTTGGTTTAAAAACAGTTTCTCTAAATGTCCAACTTTAATGCAACATTTTACAAAATTGAATGGCTGCACACGTTTTTTATGAAATGAGCCACATCTGATGTGACAGTAATATCTGTAAGTCCGTCAAAGTCGCACTGACAGCAACAGTTTTTCGGGCAGACACAATGAAAGTTGTTTTCAGTATATTTAAATATGAAATTAAAAGAAGCATTTAAGAAGCTATTTAAGAAGAAACATTTCCTAAGGGTGAGAGAGCAAGACTTTCTGAAGATAACAGGAAGTAAGTCAAAGATGTCCTTTTTAAAAACTGTCATTTTCAGCCTCCGTCTGTTATAGAGGATGTTAGATTTGAAAATGTTGGCAGCCGTTTAGAAATCTTGGAGTTGAAATAACAAGCTACATTCTCATTGGGGAATAAAGGCAAAGACTCCTATTTACATCTGGGGCAGCTAAAAAGACTAATCACTAACGTAAGATTCAGATTTCACCTCTGACATGGTTTTTGTCTTTGTTTCAAAATGTTGGTCAAACCCTCTTTTACAACCACTCCCACTCCAATGCATGTGGTGTGATGTTGACTCAGCTCCCAGTTGAAAGTTGCACTTGTATTTCTCCTATGAAAGTTCTTAAAGAGAAATACAAATCAGGTGAACCAAAGCCTTAAATAAAACAAGAATTATTCTGATTGGTGCGTCAATGCCTTTGAGTTTTGCTCGCTGCGGGCAAGAGCGAAAATTAAAAGCACGAACTTCGGTAAATCCACTGAGACGCTCGTTTGGTGGGGGGGTTTCTCCAAACGAGCGTAATGAGACATATTTGGCAATTAGACTGTAGATGTTCAACTTGAGCATTTCAAGGCAGCACAGAAGACAACAACAAATGAATCAACGAATAAACCAACACTGAAATAGTCTTTAGTCATTTTGCTGTCGGTGAGTACATATTTTATCACGTCCTCATCCTCAATTACGTTTTACATACATTCTTGTAGAAGCAACAAAATCTCCCCGCCCCCAAGTAATGAGAAGCTGAGGACAAATTAAAAAGACTTTGTCAACTTATATTTGTCTATGTTGGAGATCTGCTTATAATTTCAACTGCTAAATAAACTAATTTAGACAAAACTTGGGAATATTTGGTAAAACCTCAAATTTCAATCCACATAACATAAAAACTATCTGCAGCCCTTCTTATACGCTGCAGAAAAAGTTATTTTAAAAGTACATCTAAGTGTTTGCTCAGTTTTAAAAATTGTAATTTAAAATACGAATCAGGTTGAAAATAATGCACGTCAATGATCTTCAGGGAAATGCACAATGAAACCGTGGCTATCAGACTACCAGCAGCACAAATGCAGCACAGATGGTCTTATTTCTATTTTAAGACTTAAATATGCGTACGTATTGTTTAAAACTCGCCCATTCATCCTGACGAGAGCAGATATGCATGTTGGTGCCTGTTGCAGAAGATATTGCAAAAATATTCCTGCAAAATGTCTTCCCCCAGAGTAAATAGTCTCCTCTAACAACTGCCCTCAAACCCCCACGCGGTGATAAATTGACCGAGTGGCTCTCCATCATAATGATGAGTGGAGGATCCCAGCCAAGATCTGCCCCACCCTCCTCCTCTTTTGACCACTGAGCTCTGTCCACTGTCTGTTCTTGTCTTCATCACACCCCCTCTTCCTCTTCCCTCTGATCCCCCACCCTATTTGTGCAAGGCAGGCAGACCACCTAACGACCAATGCCAAGGCAACAGGGCCATCTCCTAGCAACGTAAAGCCTGGCTGAAACGTGGCTCTGACGACTTCGACACATGGGAACGGAGGGGGGCAGGAGAGGGAGTGTGGGAGTCTAGAAGCGAAGGGAGGGGCTCGGCGCAACTGGTATCCTTCAGACGAAGGCGAGGGATAAGTTCAGGAATTATAAAAATCATTTTCGGTGAGAGCGAAAGTGGCTGATGTTCTTTCAATCAACTCTCTGGAAAATGCAAACAGTTCTCCAACTGTCAGGCACACCGCCTGCACATAAAACACCAAGTAGAGGACAGAAGTACACGGATGTCTTTATTTCACTCTAATGCTTCTTACGCTGTACTGTAAAACTTCTCTTTGAGTTGTTTATAGTTTCAGATGTTAAAATATTGCATGGAGTTTCACTGAAAATTCTTCAGATAAACTCTCAAATTCATGAGAGGATGCATATGGCTAAATTCAGAAGAAAACCTGTTGGAAGTTGAAAAAAAAAAACACTTGAATCTAATTCAGAGGCAGGTTCACTTTCCTGCAGGACAATTTTAAATATACAACATAAACTTCAATCTAACGGTTTACATCCAGTCACATCCATGTTTAAGAACATGAATTAGAATCCAACTGAGAATTGGAGGCAAGAATTGAAAGTTGATGTTCACAGATGCTTTTCTTCGACTCTGAGCTCTAGCTGTCTTTCAAATATAAACGGGAAAGAATTGAATTCTCTTCATGTGGAAATCTGGTAGAGACATCCACCAAAAGACTTGTAGAGGTAATTCCAGGAAGAAGTGGCTCCACTAAGTTTTGATTGAGGGTTGCTGGATAGTAATGTATGCCAGACTGCTTTATTATCTTCTATAAAATATAATAAACCTTGTAGTAGCAAGGTGATAAAGTGAGGAAGTTCAAGAGGCCCTTTAGCAAGGCACTGTTCTGTCACATGCGGGACGTTTCTGCTTGGTTACACTCTAAATGAAAGATCCAGGTTTAGAAATATTAGAACAGCTTGAAACGGCTGAATCACTACGTAGCGGACTATGAAGTAAATACGAGGACATTTTTACAACAACTTGAGTTGTTTTCCAAATACTTGTCCCATCTATGAACAACTGCTGCACATCATTTATTGCTGGAGGAACTTTTACCACAGTGCACGAAGGGAAAGGCCCCGGGATTTCATACTGCAACACAGTTACCAGAAATTACTTGGTGTACTGCCCTGCATGTTGCTGGGACTCGTCAACTGGCGTAAGCCTTTGGAAACAAACAGCTGTAATAGTGAACTGCTTTGACATTCACACAGAAATCATCTGAACAAAAAACACCACAAGACCAATCCCTTTTTAATGCAAAGATAAAGCAGTTATGTTACAGAACTGAGCCTGTAAGAATAAAGATCAACAACTGCCTTTTAGGAAACAGTTCAATGTGGTTTGGACTCAAATGAAGGCATTGGATTGTTGCAAACTAAAATAAATCCCTGCACCAACAGTATTTACAAGATATGGAAAGTCATTGCTCTTCATTAGCAGGTGTATTCTGCTTAGCATCTTTAGTGGATCAAACCCTTTCATAATCTCAGTTTATGCACGTTTATGGAAGTTACATTTGAGACTTTCAGACATTTTTAAGAATATAATTTAAATTAATGAACAATGATTATAAGCAATATAAAATAACTTTATTAAAATATGTGTTTTTCAGCTCTAAAATTTTTAGCAAGATGTCTATCTGTGCAAAAGATCATTGCAATAAAAATCTTCTTGCCTCCTTACAGATTTAGTCTTTTTTTCCCCCCCGTGTTGCAATGTTTGAAATCAAACAAAATTTAACATCAGACATATTAAAACTGTGTAAAAGCAAAATGCAATTTTAGAAAAATAGGTGCCCAGGACAACTCTATTTGAAAAGGTAATTGCACGTTAAACCTAATAACTGTTTGCAAATTCTGCTATCGATCGATTACCAACAGTCTTTAACATCACTCTGGAGGAATTTTCGCCCAGACTGGAGATTTTCGACCATGAACAAAATGTCTCAACTGGAGTTAAGTTCAGACTTTGACTAGGCCACTCCAAAAGCTGGCTGCGAAGCATTTGATCATAAGGCAATACATTTTCCTTCAGTTTTCTGCTGAAGAGCAACATTAATGGCTCCAACAACTACAGCAGCACCAGCAAAGCAGCCCCAGTCCATCACACAGCCACCACCATGTCTAGCTGTCTGTTTGATGTTCTTTTTGTGAGGCGTGTTATTTTTAAGCCAGATATAACAAACCAAACATGTTTTGACGACGCACACTTTCCAAAACGTTCTAGTTTTGCAAATGAGTCAACAGAATATTTTCAAAATCCAAAATCCAAAATCCTTCTGGAGCAAATAGATGACATAGGCCTTTGTTTTCCCATTGATTGGCAAGGCGATGCTTTTACCTTGGATCTGTACGATGAATACATTTTAGTCTCTTTTGTGTTGCTGAATCATGAATCACAACTTTAACTGAGGTCTACAGTGCTTTTAATGTCATCTTGGATTCCTTTCTGATTGTTAATGGAAACTCTTAGAGTTTATCCATCAAATTGATTAAGATTGGATCATGACGTTTTGCATTTTTAACTCCTATAGCCTACTTCATGTTGATTCTTCAAGTCAGGCAGGTTGAACCAAAATAAAAGTGGTTAATCTTTTAATTTATGATCGAACATGGGACGGCAGTAGCTTTTTCTACACAGGGCATCTATTAATTAACAGAATCAGAATTTGAAAACTGACAAAAAGAAAAGCAAAAATGGAAGAAATAAGAAAAGACTTTTTCCAGAGCATTGCAGCATATGGATGTGTAGGAGGAGACGGTCATGCTAATTTCTAAACGTTTTGTGGTTTTACAGATTTCTCTCGTAAATCAAGTACAGACAAGCGGGAAGGGCTGTGATGAATGAGGTCAGGGCGTGGCACTTATACGCGGGTTAAGACAATTCATCCGCTGCTCCCTCCCCAGCAGCTTTTTGTCTTTGCGACACCTCGCGCCGGAGTATTGGTGTCAGCAGACATAAACCTGTAAACTTTACACCAAAAGACATGACATCCACCTTTAAATCTTCTCTGTATCTCCACATCATGTCTTTTTTTTTTCTTCCACACATCAGGGCCCCTCCCTAAGATAGACGCATACGCTGACTAAAGGATGTCACCATAGCAACAGGAGAGAAAGAGGGGAAAAAAAGATACACAGTGAACAGGGAGAAAGCAGAGAATAAAGCCAGTTAGAGAGAGAGACAGAGAGGGAGTCAATAACCTAAGCATGGCAAAAAAAAAAGAAGAATCAGATATAAAGAGCAGACAGATGGAGAGGCAGAGAAAGAGCGTCAGATGGCGGAGAAAGACAGCGGGTGTTTCTCTCTGGCCAACCAAAATACTGACCAGCTCCGATTTTGACAACAGAAGATGTCCTTATGACGCTCCCTTTTTTATCCATTCTCCCTCTCTATTCATATCTGTTAGCGCTGTTAATTCGTCTGCAACAATCAGAGCCTGTCGGCCCCAGTGACTTATGCTGAACGAGGCATTGAGTGTCTTGTGGACAACTTTCTGTCTCTGAGTGTGAGCCTGAGGGCCACACCCAGCTGCTGCTGCAGATCAGCACACAAAGACGCAAAATCTACCTGGCATTAATGTGTCTTTAGAGCACTTCCAAAATGTAAAAATGAGTGTAATTCAGAAGTGACTGCAGTCAAGTCACATTAGATCAGTCAGAGCAAGAAGAGGAGGGATGGATTCAATCAGATTAACATCCAGATCCAGATCTCTTTACGGAAATGCACTTCTGAGCACAAATCAGGCAAATCAAAAGCGGGCACAGATCCAAAACTAATGTTGTAAAAATGAGGAAAAGACCTACATTTTAGTTTTAGCCAAACAAAATAGTTATTTTGTTGAATTTTAATCACGTTTTCTTCAAAATAGCAAGTAGGAAGCTTCTTATAGCACTAAATCTGTGTAGCTTAATGTGAGCTAAATGTCAACTCACAGCTAAATTAGCATTAACATAATCTTGAAAAAGTAAAAAAAACAAAACAAAAAAAACAAAACAGGTTTTCTTAGTTTAGACATATTGTGGTTTTCATAATTATTTCATCTGCAAATATTGAAGTCAAACTTGTTAGTTTGTTTTTTTCTTATTTGTCAAAAATAGAAAACCTTACTCATAAGGTTCCAAATCCAGAGGTACTGAAACATAAAAATGATAATTGCACTATTTTAGAGCTTAAAATAACTTTAAACATTAGATATGGTATGGCAGAAAATGTTTGTAGTTGTAAAAATATAACATCTTAAAACTTTGATATACAATGCTGTTAAAAAAAAGTATCTGGCCTTTTAGAGATTTCTCCCTACTTTTATTATCAGCCAAAGAAAACCTGAGTGAATACAAAAGGTTGTCAAATCATAATTTTATTTATTAAGTGTATGAAAATTATCTGAAGCAACTTGACCTTACTTGAAAATTCACCCTGCACTCCTTGCTAAATCTTGAAACAACTGAGATTACTCACAATAAATCAATTTCACACTCCCCTGTTCACTGTCAGATCTGTAGAATCAACAAATCACTGAGAGCTTTCATCCTTCTGCTCAGTCGTCAGATGCCAGCAGGTTGCAGATGTTTCAGGCTTGTTTTCACTGGGAAAACCACCTGAACTCTCTGATGTGAACGTAGAACCGGCTGAACAAGAAAATAACCTGAAATCGATCAATTTGAGCCCAACACTTTCTCCATTGATGGAAAACTTTTTTTTAATCAATCTGAACATTGAACCCGACTGCATTGTTTGATAAATAGGATCAAATTAAAAAGCAGAGAATCAGGCTGTATGATTTAATTTACTATTTTGTTACAAATTAATGCTGTAAAAATAAATTGTATTGAACTGATTTGAATTTAACTTCGTAGTTGATTTTTCTATTTACTCTAAACTCTTTTTTGCAGCACCTTACCTTTCTGACGGCTAGTTTTCACACATTTAAAATTCTTGAATATTTTTGTGGAAAAACAAAAATTACCGTTTTGGATTTTTTTTTTATTTCTCTTTGCAATTCCCGTTAAAAACATCAACTCTGAGTCAATGTATTAGAGGTGTGAAAAATCGAGATGCAAACAGCAAAAATCAACAACCTGCTCAAGATGCCAGGTGGAGTCGATGCGTGGTTTGACTTTGCCCTGCTTGTACAGATCCAGGATGGTGTTCATGGCCTCAGTGATGAGCTCCATCTCCCCGTCCAGGTAGCCCAGGTGAAACCCACACACCGACTTGTTGCCTTGAATAAGGCTGAGCGTGTGGATGGAGAACTGGTGGTACCAGTTCTTAGCCACGGCGATCAGGTTCTTCCTCTGACCCGCCAACATGTTGGCCGCACCTGAAGGGGACGAAGATCAAAGAACAGGCACAATGTAAAACTTGACTCCGTTAACTTTACATATTGTGTTTTAGTATTTGGTAGTGTACAGGTGCTATTTTACAGCCACCTAGAATCATTTTAAAGCACAACCAAGTAACTATGTTGTCATATAAATGATATAGGTATATATATCAAATATGACTTCAAAGAAATTTGACTTCTTAATTTAACTCCTTGAAATTGGGCCTATATTTCTTTAAGAAACTCTTGCTCTGACACTTCTCCTTCAAGAAGTCATCACAACATCCTTCCTCTATTAACCTTTTCACAAAAGGTTTTACCAGCTTTACACTGAGAAGTAGTTTGTACAATGAGCTCAGAAGTTGCGCAGTTCTGCCAGGTGTTTACTAACTGTGGCTGACTAGTCTGAAGGAGCTGAGTGGAGGGTAAGGAGGAGCTTTGTCCTTGAAGGCGGGGCTTGGTCCCATCAAGCGTTTGGCACAGCTGAATAGTTGCCATGGGAAATTAAACATCTCAAACATAAGAAATGGGATTTCTTATGTTTGAGATGTTTAATCAAGTAAAGCTTAAAAAAGTCGATTTGACATAATAGTGCCTCTTTAAAAAAATCAAAAGCGGTGGTGTTGAAAGGTCACGTCTCACTTAGGCAATGAGAACCATCCGCTGTTTCACCTCTCTCGCGCCTATTCTCCCACCCTCAAAACCCTCTTTAGCACTTCAGCAGCCACTGCCATCACATCCTCCTCCAGTCCCCCTCCTTACGGGTTCACTTAACGGTCTCTCTACTCTCAATCTTTGCGTTCCTTGGATTGGAGGAAAAGGGTGGGGGTGAGGGTGGTATGGACAAAGCATGCTCTGAGAGAACCAAGGGACCCGGCCCGCCGTATTCACACACATTCCAGGTTTCATGCAGATAGAACACCCCATTGTTCCACCGTGCCTACTTCTGATAAGCTGGAGGAGAAGCGGCCCGGCGCAGAGGGACTGGAGAGGCTGAATGGTTGAGGTTGGAGGGCACCATGCTGGGTAGGGGCTTTCTGAGCAACACGCAAAAAAAGGCGAGGCCCTGTTCTCCATGGATGCCGACCCCGCCCACTCCATGCATGCATTTGGATTTGCATTGTAACAGAGGGAGCGTAAAAGGGCTTCCCACGGATGACACACAGCTCACTGAGGACATGGGCCTCCACAGAGAGGCCAATCCGCCCACTAGAAAGCAGCTTTTACTCTGTGGCAAGTGTGAAACCCACAACTATTCTATTTATTCACAGCCAGCCTGAAAGATCCCGGGAGAACTTTTTTTTTTTTTTTTTGGAAAAAGCAGCAACTAATTGTTCTTTATGCAGTTGCTACATAAAAGTCAAAAAATGTAATAGTGTGGATTCTTCAGGATGAATTCCAGCTATAGTCCAAAAGGATAAGAATGTAAAGAATTTGGTTTGATAATGTGAATATGTAGCTGATGTGTTCCAAGAAGAAATGCCTCAAATCTCCTCAAAGACCAGAGAAAGTCTGCAGGCTACAACCAACTTTCACTTTTATGCGTCAGATTTTTTATTAAATCCAAAATTTAAGAAGCAGATTAGCTTGAAACAAGTGGAAAAAAAGTACCTCGGTAGATTTAAAGATACATGTAGTGATGCATCATTTTTTTAACACATGTACACTGAGAATAAAAGCAAAATAACAGGTAATGAAGTATGGATTTCTACTGCTGCATATCTCAAAATTCAAAGATTTTTAACAAAATAAAAATAAAATGGGTGCGCTTTTTGTGATGACATCACAAGAGGCACAAGAAAAGCTGTGGTGAATGAGTGACGTTTGACAGATTTTAGCATTCAAGTTGCAACCTTAATGTCTTGGAAGCCGTAGCTTTATCTACAAGAACCAAAAACATAAATGATGCCGTCTTGAGTCACCATTGAAACAACAACCAACTGCAACAATTATCTTCTGGACATTAAGTGGTACAAATTGGTTTGTGCTTTTAAGCATAAAAACAGTTGGATGACGCAGCAGGACACCCAACACACCTGAACGACAAAGACAAACAAACCTAATAAAAAAAAAAAAACAGACCGAACTGAAGGCTCTGGAGCTGCCAAGTAAAAGTCTGATATGCTAAATCTGTTTGGAGACACAGTGGTGTGACCTTCTGCAGGCCAGCCGAGCTTGAAATCTGTACAATGTGGGTAAATTTAAAGCTGTTCAGCAAAAAAAAGATGGGGGGAAATGGGCTCAATTATACCAAGGGTGGCAGAAGCAGTTGTTAGGTTTAGGAGGCATTTAAATTTTCAACCTTTTCCCCTCCTCATAATAAATCTGCCAACTTTTTCCACAAAATTGAACATATTGGGGGGAGAAAAGTAACTACTGACTTTTGAGAATGAAATCTGGCCCTCCGTCTGTCATATATTCGACTGTTGTTAATTTTTTCAGAAATCCATGCACAGTTCTGATATGAAGGTAAAACACTGTGCTGCAGCGATTCCAAATACAAGTTAACACATTTGAATGAGTTATCCGATTAAAAACTTTGAAGAAAAGAGAAAAAAAAATGGAAAGAAAAATACAAAAGGTCAGATCTGTGTGCTGATTGGTTGTGATGTCATCAAAAGCATGTTTGCACAAACGGGGGAAGGTAGAGGTTAATTTGATAAAAAAAACAAAACAAAAAAAAACACTATTTGCATAGCAAATTAAACAGTAAGTTTGATTGATTATACAGAAAAGTCTGGTTAATAACTTTGAATCAATCCATGTTTGAGATTTGGCACCAGCAAAACATGAATAGCAACATTTTACGCCAAGCTATGTCGCATTTTTGCAACATCGGTTATCTTGCTGCTGGATTTATTATTTCCACTTACCATAGGTGATGAGCTTTCCCATAGGCTTCAGCAGATTGTAGGCCTTGTGGGTGTCTGATCCTCCGAGTGGGTCGAGGATGATGTCCAGCCCTGAGGCACAGGAGGCAAGCGGTGGAAATTATCTATGGTGTGAATTCAGCAAGCGCAGCCCGCCAGGTCTCCTCTGGCGGGCTGCCCCTCCGCATGCCAAAGTTCAATAGGAGTAGCGAGTGTAGCCAAGCTGCTCCATGTTTACTCAAACCCATAAAGGAGGACAGGAGGAACGTAACAGAACCTTCCTTTGCGATTGCTTTTTTCCATTCATGTCTCTTGTCTGACAAGAGGGATGAGATGTCTCCCTGTTGCTATCATTTCAGCACAACAATCTGCACAGATGGTAAAACCAGACAATGGAGGTTTCTCTGTGGCTTATTAATGTCCAACCATGTAGGTTCTGCCTTAATGATGTTCCTTTGTGCCACAGGGAACTCCTTAAATTGGGCTACCCCTCCTTGCTCCGCTAAACCCCGGTCCTATTGATTGCAGGGCCTCGCAGCATGACTCTGCCTTGACCGAAGCACACATGAATTGACAGAGAGTCAAAGATAGAAGGATTGGTGGTGAGCACATTGATTCGGGCTTCTAATTAGATACATTCTGTGTAAAGTGTCAGCTCCTGCTTTCAACCTATCTGTCTCCGATGTCTGCCTGACTCAAAAATGAACGGAGACAGATGGGGAGAGGTGCCAATGAGACGAGCTTTCTGGGAAACTATATTATATTTGAAACCGGAGCAGTATGACCTGGACTTTGTTTCATTTAGCTAATAAAAGAGGCAGGATTTTAGTTAAGTTCCTAGAAGCAGTTCCAGCTACATATAACTTTTCTCGCTACTATGTTTGGGGCAGACAGCATCTGTGTTTGGAGAGAAAAATTTTGCTTGGTGGGAAACTGTGAGAAACTGAAACAAAAATCTTGAAATATCCAATGTCAAAATGCGTAATGCTAGCAACAGAGGTGCTGTTTTTTGAATCGCATTCTCCTGTGGAAACAAAATCCAAATTTAGGACATTTAATCTCGGCGGATGCTGAGCTCTCGTTCACCTTTTGGACTGATCTTGCGAACTTCCTCCACGTAGTCCTTGGTGCGATAGTCGATGGCATGCGTGACCCCACCCTGACTGATGGCCTCATGTTTGCTTGCTGACGCGGTGCCGAACACGGTCACATCTTTCACAGTCTTGCACAGCTGAGTGGCTGCGATGCCGACGCCACCTGAAGAGAGGGTAAAATAAATCAACGGTTAATGCAGGGAAATGCATCTGTTGGCTTTGACCTTTCGTCTCCACAGACTCTCCTTGCTGCTCTCCGGCTGGATTTTAGAGTTTAGTCGTCAGAGAAGCTTATTCAAAATGGTTTCCTCTTTCTGTTCTTGATGTAAACATTTGTATTTATGAAAACCACCACACCACAGAGCTGCACCGGTTGTCTTTCAGATGCATGAAAGAAAGTCCAATTTTGGCAACACCATGTTTTCTCCCCCCCGTCGACTGGTCACAGAAGCTACACCAAAACTCATTTCTAATTGGGCGATCAGTCCCTTGTGATGGCTCCTCCCCCTAAAGAGGCTGTTGTGTGTGAAGACAACAGCATTATTCATTTTCCCACCACATAGCGGTATTTTAAAGTACAATCAAGTAATTATGTTAAGTTGATAAAAATGGTATAAATGGAAAACTATGGTTACATAATTTAACTCCTTGAAATTGGGCCTCTGTCTCTTTAAGAAACCTTCCGACACTCCACCATTAGGAAGTCATTAAAACATCGCCCTTCTATTAACCCTTTAACAATGTTTTACCAGTGTTGCACTGAGAAGTAGCTGACATAATGAGCTCAGCTGATCTACCAAGTGTTTGCTAATTGCTGCTGGCTAGTCAGAAGGAGCTCCAAGGAGGAGTTGCATCCTCGACGATGGTACTAGACCCAACCAGAAAGAAAGTGTTTGTCACAAGACACCCAGACTGGACCCATTAACAAGGCCTAATCAACTGTTACAAAATCTGATTGCGATGAATGTATTTTTCCCCCCTCATTTGTGTGAGTTCTACACATCTCAGACAATCTTTAAATCTTAACTTTTACAAAATATGTCACCCAGTTCTAGTTAGAAAGTGAGGAGGCCAAAATCCAAGGATGAAGAAACACATTCTGCTGTTTTGTTCAACCTTGAACTGGTAACACAGCTGCTTGTTTCCAAAACGATTTCATTCATGGCTAAGAAAACGTGCATATAAGGAAACCAAGACGGTTCTGGAAAGAGAGATGAACAACACAACACACACCTCCGGCCAAAAGTAAAGCAGCTTTCACTCTCCTGTTGCTGGCAGTTTTAAACCGAAGCCTGGCAGATTAAGACAGTAGCTCCAAAACATTATTTTGTCTTTCTGATTTTAGGGTTTAAATCCACTTTCTTTTTGTCTTGATTTATTCTTCCTCAATAAATAAAGTACCTGAAAGCTGGAAATGGACGAATTGTAGAATAGGAGTTAAACCATCTTATTTTCTTTGATTTTAGTTCATTAGAAGAGATGCGATATTAACCGACTGTAATTAGTAAGATTGCATCTAATGTAAGCTTACGTAAGACATTCATTTTCACTTTTGATTGTTTCATTAACAATGATTCCTAAGAAAATGAGGTCTCATCTTCTATTTAAGTGCAATTATTGAATCAATAAAAATTTATGCTTCAAAATAAATACTTTTTACAACAATTTAGAAGATTAAGACAAACTTGATTAAGATATAAACCTTTGTATCTCTTAAACTATTTTGAGCAAAATCCTCCACAAAATGGAGCTCGACAAGAATTCCCATTCGACGCATATTTTCGGGGCCAGGTAAATTTGATTTGCATTATTTATTGCGACAAACAACCAAGTCAATAACAGAGTGGATGTGTTTTTGCCCAGGGGTATGTATGAGGCATATTAAACACAATTACATTAACTCAGCTGGCCCGGGGAAAGTAAACACCCACACAAAAGACAAATACATCCAACTCTGGAGAAAGTAGCTTTTGTCACCCTGTGGTAAATCCAATTTTGCAGTTTGCATTCTCAAGACGAAGTAAAGTACCAGAAAAACACAAGAGTAGCTGTAAGAACAACAACAACAAAAAAAACTTCCACAATGTCCAAGACTTTAAATACAAGTAGAGGTTTGGACTATTTGGATTTTTCTTTGCTGTGTTTGAATGCCGTAGCCGGTGTTTGCAGAAGGAACCGTTGCGAGGAGTAATAGGTTACCGATAAGCAAGTGGCTTGTTTGAAATGAAAGCTGACTGGAGGGGCAGAGGCTGCAAGGCATCCATAAAGGTCACTCATGCCTGACCAGGAAAGAGCACATCTTATCTGATACCAGAGAGAATAAAGGAGCACAGAGCAACAGCTGCATTCAATAACATTTACTTTTACTGGGACTAGATGGGAAATTAAATGTGGTGAGAAATATGCACACCAAGAACATGAAGAAAAGATTTCCACTTTGAGTGAGAACATTCTGAGTGAAGAATGCTGCACTGATTTTAGGCATGCATGTCAGCTTTCAGGGGAGAATGGTGTGCACTGGATGATGCCGGTGCACCTCTTGTCCCTTCATCTGAACATAAATGTTTCTGAGCCAGTGAGCCTGTCTGATAGCACAACTTCCTCAACCAAACCCAGGCAGCTTCTCTCTGTGGCAGCATGGCTGCATAAAAACACAAAAGCAAACAGCGGTGTCTTCAGAAGAAATGAAAGTACTGAGATTTACCGATATCATTTGGATATATGTTCAAGATAAAGCCGTTCTCTGGTAGTGCAGGTCATCGACGGGTTCCTGTGAGATGAACAGGCCGGCTGCTGCATCACTATAATCGCGCCTGTTGATGGTGTTAATGTAGCTGAAGAGAAAACAAAACTCAAGGCTGTTGCTCTTGGATGCGAGCGCTGTCGTGGCCGCGTTGTAACAGCAACCGTCTCTCCTCGCTCTCAGTGAGAAAACCGAGTTTGTGTTGCCAAGGTAACCTCAGCCAAATTGCCAGCAATGACAGAGCAAAGGGAACCATTTTGTCTCATTGACTGCTCTTCCTTCGGGCACACAGGCGCAACAATCGCGAGTTTGTCAGCAGTCCATTTTTGACGGCTACAGCTGAGCATTTGTCTTGAGAAGTCGCCTGAAAAGGCGCCGTATTTCTAATGATTATAAAACACAAATATACAAACATGAGGGGAAGTTTGTGTAATTTATGAGGTGTGAGGTGTCCAACAGAATCTTATATGCTCACATTTAAATATTTAACTATAGTAATTGTCATAAATTTTGTGATTTCCGTTCACTGCAGCTGTGTAGAGAAACGTATTAAATATAAATGCAGAAATCATTTTCTGTTGAACAAAAAAAGGAGAATTTGCTGTAGTGCCTTTCAAAAGAATCACATTGGATTTCTGTGTGACAAATACAAAGCAGCACATTATTGTGAAGTTCAAAGTAATTATATAGAAATCTGACCATGAATGAAAGTGTGAAACGTAAAACATATGTTTGATTCAACACCCAGGGGTCAATATTTTATACAACAGTCTTTTCTTACATCGAGAAACTAAAGTTTTTGACAATTCTTCTCAGTCAAATTGGAGGGAAAATATCAGTGAAGAGCAAGTTAAAGTACTTAGGTCTGGACTTTGACTGGACCGTTCCAACACAAGTCAATGATCTGATAGAGACCAGTGGTTCTAAATCCCAAACATATCATTCTCCAAAGCTTAAAAATGGGTGATTAACAGGAAGTAATGAAATCATTTGAATATGATTTGGTGGAGCAGAGACACAAACAAACATGGAGGATTCACTGGTGTTGTATATCTGGCTGAATTTCCTCCTGGAAAGTGAACCTCTGCTTCAGTCTCAGATCTTTTCACACCAATAGTTATTTTTCCCAGTATTACTCTGTTTTTAGCTCCAGGTCATTCCAACTTCCCAGCAAAAATGACCAAAAAGCTGCTGAAGAAAAGCCAGCCCACAGTATAATGCGACCACTGCCACAGTTCACTTTTGTGGACGCTGCGTTTAAGGCGAGACACAGAGCTAGTTTTTCTCCATACATGGCATTTTGAGTAGAGGTAAAAAAGTTAATTTTTAATCTCATCAACAACTCAGTTTGTGGCAAACTCTAAGCAAACCTCAATGCTTTACAATTGGCTCCTTTTTGCCACTCTTTCATGACAGAGAAATTTGTGGAGTAGATGATAATTGTCGTCTTAACAAACCTCTACTCCTCTGATTAATGCTCCATTTATTCAGCCTCTCAGTTTAATTGGATGGTCATGTTTTGGTAGGTTTCTAGTGGTTTGCATGTTCAAATACCAGATTGAAAGGTGCTCTGTGATGTGTTCAAAGCTTGGAATATTCAAACATTTCCACAGGCCCTAACCCCATCTGCTGTGTTTCTTGGTATTCATGATGACAGTGTAGAATCGATGTTATCGAACAAATCTCTGCTACACTTTCCAAAAACATGTAAATACATTTAAAACATGTCATTATCCTTCCACTTCTGAAATACGCACAACGTTTTGTCCATAAAATCCTCCACACACACACATTAAAGCCTGTTGTTGTAATGTGATGTGGTGTGAATAAGCTGTATGAGGAACTGTACATTATTTTGAGCCTGTTTTTAGTCAGACTGTACCCGTTTCTGAATCCCATGGGAACAAACTCCCATGCGTCCAATCACAAGACTGCAGAACTGTGCCAAGAGCCCCTCAGTCCCCTCACCTCCAATCAGACACGCACATCCATACATACACACATTGCAAAGGCAAGATAAGCTTCCTTCCCAGTTAGCTGCTGGTATCTGCTAATCTTCACAAATATGCAAGGATTAAAATATTAGCCTTCAGTTTCTGCATTTACTTGTTTTTCCCCCAGATTTACATTTTTCCCCAGCATGTCCTCGGAATCGAACCATCTCTCTTCGGAGGTTACGGCTTAAAACTAGGAACGAAGAAGAAAAGGCAACCCAAACCAATACTTGCTGCTATTTGCAGTTATTCTCCTCAAGATTCGATTTAAGTGTTTACGCTCGAAGACAAGGACGACCCAAACATTCTCCACCTAAACGGAGCACAGAGGGGGTTTTGTCTTCCCCCACAATCCTTATGTTCTTGCATTTTGGCACACATTGTGCTCCACAACATGGCTGTTAGGAGCGAATTGGAATTTTCCCC